TTTTGGCTATTTATTTTTCTAAATCTGATCTTCTTTTATCACTTTATGAAGATTCTTTATCTAAATTATCAAGTATTGGTTTTTATTCTTAAATAAATTTTCTTAGCTTTTCAATTTCTCCTTTAATATCATCTTTCTTTAGTTATTGATTTTCCTTTTATAATTAATCTATTTAATTTTATTTATCTTTAATTTCATCTTCTTATTATTTAGCTTATTCTTTAAGATCCTATACTTAAGCTTCAAGAGCATTACATTCATCATCTAGATCCTTATTTTCTTTCTCTTTTTATTTTAGTTGATTATTAGCTTTATCTAAATCTTTTTTTGCTTAATTTTATGCTTAAATAGCATTTTTAGCATCTTATTCAGCTTTTTATATTTTATTTTTAACTGTTTCAGGATCTAATTAAGCTATTTATTTTTCAGCTTAAGCTAATTTATTTTAAGTATCTTTTAATTGTTTTTTCAAATCATTTAAATTTTATAATTCTTATTTTAATTTTTCAGCCTCATTAACAGCTGCTTATCTTTATTAATCTAGTTAATCACATTCAGCATCTAAATCTTTTACTTATTTTTCTAATTCTTTTTTTTATTGATCTTTTTCTTTTTATTCTTTAAGATCTTTTTATTTCTACTCTTTTAATTTATTTAATTCATTTTAAACTTTTGTTAATTAATCTTCTTTTTATTTTAATGATTATAATGCCTTATTTAATTCATCATTAAGTCTTTTAATTTCTGAATTTTCTTATTATTCTTTTATTTTTTATTATAATTTAGCATCTAAATCATCACATTCTTTATTGAGATTATTAATTTCATTTTATAAATTTTTCTTTTCTTTTTCTTATTCTTTAAGTTAATCTTTCAATTATTTAATTTCATTTTATGCTTCTTATAATTAATTTTTCAATTAATCTTAAGTCTTATTCTATTTTTATTCAGCATTGTTAATTTAATCTTATAATTTTTAGCTTTATTTTTTTGATTCATTTAATTATTTATTTAAATCATTATTATTTTATTATAATTATTTATTTTCTTATTATTTATTTTAATTATCTAATTTAGATTTTTCTAAATTTTCTTATAATTTTTAAATATCTTTAGCTTATTAATCTATTTATTTTTATTTTTAAGCAACTTCTTTATTCAATTAATTAATTTAATCATTTAATTAATCAATTTCTTTTTATAATTCTTTATTTTCTTATTCATATTCATCTAAATCCTTATTTAATTAATCTGCATCATTGTGTTTATCACTTAATTCTTTTTATGCTTTTGCTAATTCTTTTTATTATTACAAAGCTTTTTCTTCAGCTTAATTATATTTTTAATGTAAATTATTATTATCTTATATTAAATTTTATTTTTCTTTATTTAAATCTTTAATTTCTTTTTCTAGATCTTTAATTTAATTTTATTAATCTTTAACCTTTTATTCTAAATCAGCAATTTTTTCATCCAATTGATCCAATTCTTAATTGGCAGCATTAATTTATTTTGCCTATTCATCTGTTTTATCTTTTAAAGTCTTATTATTTTTATCCAAAGTAGCTGTCTTTTTAAGTTCTGCATCTAATTTTCTTTAGACATCTTTTACTTCTCTATCTCTTTTATTATCAGCATCTTTAAGTTCTTTTTGTAATTATTATATTTATTTATTTTATGCCTCTATTTAATTAGCTTTATTAGTATTGTCATTTTCAAGTTCATCAATAGTATGATCTTTTTCATTCTCTGTTGCTTTAGCATTATCTAATAATTCTTTAATTTATTTTTCATATTACTCTTTTTAGTCTTATAATTATTTTTCAATCTCTTATATATATTAAGCTAATTATTTAATTTTTGCTTGAGCATCATTATATTAACCTTCATAATTTTATACTCTTTATAAATCTTCAGCAAAAAATTATAATTGATCTTTTAGAGAATCTATTTCTGCTTATTTCTCTTAAAGTAATTTATAATATTGGTCATTCTATGTAACAATAACTTAATTATCGTGCTACATTTCTGCCAATTTAGCAAGTGTATCATTAATAATTTCTTATTATCTATTTATTTCTCCATCTTTTAATTTAATAATCTTTTCTTTTCCTACTATAAATCTTTCTCTATCATTAACAGAATTTCTTAAATATTAAGCCTCCTTCTATAAAGTACTAATTTGATTAGCTTAATTCAAAGTATTTCTTTATTCTACTTCCAACATCTATCCTAGACTTTGTAGTTGTTCATCCATAACTTATTTACTAAGATATGAATCATCCAATTTAGTTTACAATATTTACAATTCGTTTTTTAAATTAGCATTTTCTGCTAATGCCAGTTATAATTCTCCATTTCTGGATCTTGATTTTACTATTTCATCATTAGCATTTTAAGATTTCAGTTCAGCTATCTCTTTATCTTTACCTATTACAACTGATTTAAGATATTCAGCTTAGTCTTGAGTTTCTTTCAAGAGTTCTGAATACTCATAATTTTCTTCTTTCAGCAGATTGATTTCAGACTCGTATGCCTCCTTCATTTTTTCAACTTCCTGTTAAAGCCTTTCAATCTCGTCACTTGGATTAACCTTTAGTTTTAGTGCTCTTATTTCATTATCTTTTAACATCAAACTTAGTTTAAGCCTAGAAATCTCATCTGATTGTTTTTCTGGTTCTGGAGATAAATTACTCATTTTTATTAATAAAGTTTATTTATATATGACTGAGTCTTAGTGTTAAATTTGCATTTAATTTGAAGCTGAAGATATTTGTATCCTCTCTGAAATGCTTATTTAAATTACTATTCCAATTTCAGGTATGTAATCATATAAATATAGACCATAAAATACCTATTCAAATGTTTCCTTACATTTTTAAAAGTTTAAAGTTTCGTAAATGTCTTGCTCAAATATTTGATACAAAATACCTTGAAATATGTGAAAAATGTTCACATAATAGACTATAACAAGTCTTTTTGCCATTATTTTCATCATCTGTTACTGAATATAATGAGACTCAAATTACTTAATAAATAGAAGAAGGATTAGACAAATTATATGAATCTATACAAGAAAAACAATAAAAACTTAAACAATCTAAAGAATAATTTGATAAACTGGCTTCATAATTGTTTAATTGTGAAGATGACGTTGAAGAGAGCAATTCATTAGGAGAGGAAAGCAGTAGTAATGAAGAAATAAGTAAAAATATTTTATTTAAAGTATAAGAAAAAAACGATGAGGATGAGCAACAACCCATAATGTAATTTAACAAAAATTCTAATAAAAATAAATTTTAAAAGAGATCTATAGATATTCTTAAAAAATGGTTTTTGGATCATCTCGATAATCCATATCCAGATAATACTGAAAAATAAAGGCTCTCAAAAATAACTGGTATGCATGTTAGACAAGTATTACTATAAAACTTATAGTTTTAGATTTAAAATTGGTTTACAAACTCTAGAAAAAGATATTTGGAACCCTTAAAAAAAAAATTTGAACATGGATTAATGAAAGAAAGTGATAGTCAAGAAGAAGATTCTTCAAAAGAATAGAAAAAACCTTTAAAATTAATTTAATAACAACCACCATAATAATAATAAATCATATAGCCTTAATAATTAAGTATACCTCCATAATAATTATAATTATAATAATAATAATAATAATAATTTTAATAATAATAATAATAATAATAACAATTACAATAATAATAACTTCTTTAATAATAATTTCAATTGTAAGTACCACTCCAAAAGAAAGTAAAAATGGAAGAAGGTTGCCAAAATAAATCATCTGATGCTAACAATATTAAATAAGAAGCTAAAACAGGATCATTTGCTTCTGATCTTTCATAATTTTAATAACCTAATTAATTCTAGTAATTCTAATAAATGTAATAAATTGCACAATTATAATAATTATAATGGCTTAATCCTTTAAATCAATTGAATCCTCTATAATTTTAACTTGGGCCATAATTTTTATCTCAATATTATAATTTTTAAGACTAAACTAAAGTACCTCCTCTAAATGGATTACCTTAATTGCATTAAGTTCCAATATTTCCCTTATTACCCTCATTATAATAGGCAGGATTTTAATAATTTTTATAGTAAGGTCCAGGATAACAGATATAATAACCAGTTTAAGTTCCAAATATATAGACTTAAATACCATAAATACCTAATCTACAAGCACTTCAAGCAGGATTTTAATAGTTTAATGGATAACTCTAAAATCCTTAAAATGGAGTATTATATCCAATGTATTAGTAATAAATGCAAAATGAATAAAAGAAATGATATAAATATATATATTGCAAAAATTTTATTTTATCATCAATAAAATATAATCTTTAAAACCTTCAATTAAATTAATTTAGAATCTAAATTTTCAATAATATTATGTCTAGTTATTTTAATCATTTAACATATGTCTTAGTTTTATTTCACCCATTTTAAATAAAAAAAGTCAATAATTATACTCATAATTAATATAATTTTTTTCATTATTTTTACATTAATATTAACGAATATAGAATCTAATCTGAATAAATCAATTGATTATATCTATTTATAAATAATAATACTTCATTAGATAAGCCAATAAAAAATAATTTATATTTAAAAATAAAAATTATATATATTTTAATTTTAAGTATCCACTCAAAAAAAATTTGTAAATAAGCATTTCTTATTATATTATTCATTTAAACTTTACAGATAATCATTTGAATTTTTTTTCTTAAATAATAATACCATAATAAAGTGTCTCCTTTAAATGTAAGATTTATATTATTGATACAAATCTAATATTCTTTATAGATATTTCTAAGATTATTAAATAATACAAATATACAAAAAATTGTATATAAAATTATAAACCATTAATAAGAGAACTTAACATAAAAATATATTAAATAATTAATCTCTTTATTTAAACCAAAATAAAGAAATAAAAAAATTCTCAAAATTGAATCAAAATTTCAAAGGAATAAATTCTGCTTTAATTCTTCCCTTTCAATGTAGGATTCGTTATATTATTGTTATATGCTCTCATTTACATAGCTTTAAAGTTAACTATATTTAAGACTACTATGACTCATTCTCCTTTATTTATTAAATGCAGCTGGTGTATAATAATAATCATCACTAGAATAAAATTTAATTATACTTTTCATATTTTTAAGGAGTATGTGTCCATTATAAAAAATTCTCTTTATTTGAATTATTATTTTCTTTTTATTATTTCTTAAAAAGTAAATATTTTTTATGCATTCTATTTCTTCTAGGATGTTTAATTATAGTTCTATTTCTCATTTCATTCTAATTGATATTATATTATAATCTACATATTATTAGATTCTTATAGCTGTGCTTTCTCTACTTTATTAGATTGGTTATTTTTTTGGTTCTTCATCTTCATCTTCGGAATCTGTAAGTAAACTTACATAGGTTTTGTTGAGAAAGATAATTTCTAAAGCTTTTCTTTCAAACTCAATCTCAAATTGATCAAAATAAGAAGGCCTTCCTTCATAAAATTAATTGATACAACCCTTTTTAGAGAAACTATTATTTTATTCCTAATAATTTATCTGTGAATTCTGGAATTCTCTTTTTCATTCCAGAATTCCAATGATTCTTTATGGCATTATCTGTTCTCCCTTCTAGATGTTTTGCAATTTCTGCCCATTTATTGCTTATAGCTTTATGATATAAGAAAAGGAGCCACTCTTCATTAAAATCCCAAGGAGTCTTTTTAATTAAAGGATTCAAATGATTATGCCATCTAAAACATTAATAAAATTCAATACCTCTCTCTACATTATTTTCCAATCCTTCCTGGTAATTTAGAAGCTATAAAAGTCCATTTATGAGGACCATACTATTCCACCAATTACATTACTTGAGTGTCTTCATAATCAGTCCAAGGTTCTAAAGATAATAGGAATTGATACTTTTTTTTGTTTTCTCTATTTTCTTTCGCATTTTTAATTTTGAAATAATATATTTAACTGATGAATAACAAAATAAATATAAATAATCAAAAAATAAGAACAAATTATGAGATCTTGTATTGAAAATGTAACTAATTTAAATGATAATGTCCGTTACAATATAACTCTAATCATAAATATCAATTTAAATACAATAGTATTATTAAGCATCATAAATATCTATAATATTAATTGTAATCAATAAAAGTATATAAATAAATATAAGTAAAATCAAAAATGATCTCAATTAAGATAATACTTTTTAATTATTCCACGTATAAAAGTAATTATGTATATAAATAGACTAGAAAATATGATTATAATCATAATGATTATTATCATTTATTGAATGAAATTTTTATTAAACGAATCAGATTTCAAATAGACTCCTCATATTTTTGAATGTGCCAATACCGAAGAGTTACACTTAAATTCAATTATTTTAATTTATGTTTTTATCATATCAATAAAGTATTGAATATCATACTTAAAACTTTGATAAAGAACATACTTAAGTCTTGTTTATTTATCAATAATAAATGCTTTTCAATAAAATTAGCTTTTATAATTATAATTCATATATTTTTATTATAAGTCCTTAATTTATTTCTAATAAGAAATAAAATATATTTTAATAGAAATTATGAATCAAATTTTTATCAACGGAAAATCTTATTTTATTAAGGAAGAGCTTGGTTAAGGAAGCTTTGGTAAAGTTTATAAGGCTCAAGATCCATCAAATAACCATGCAGTGGCTATTAAAGTATAACAATAGATATCATAACATGAATTGGATTTGCTTCATAAATTTAAAGAATTGAAATTCAAAAATCTTGTAAATATTTTAGATTTCTAAATTTGCCCAAATTAAATATTTATTGTTATGGAATTAGGTCTTATATCTCTATAGGATAAAATTTAAAAATCTAAGATTCCTTTTCAAGAAGCAAGATATGTGATGTAGCAAATTTGCAATGGATTATAAGAATTACATTCTCTAGGTCTTGCTCATAGAGATTTGAAACCAGAAAATATTCTTATTTTCACATTACAGGATTAAGCCCAAACCTAAGAAATTTACAAAATTTGTGATTTTGGAACTACAAAAGATTTTTAGAACATGAAAACACCATATATTGGAACACCTTATTATTTAGCTCCAGAATAATTGGTTTCTAATCCCTTTAATCAAAAAGTCAATTATAATTAAAGTGTTGATATTTGGGCATTTGGAGCTGTGGTGTATGAATTATTTACAAACATTCCTCTCTTTAATGGTATAATTTAGAAAAATCATATTAGGTAAAACCGTTCAAGAAATATATTTAAAAATAATGGAACTACCAATAGAAGAAGAGATTAAAAAACTTCAGCATTTGGAAACTAAGTATTAAAATTTGTTAATCAATATGTTATAAAGAAATCCATAAAAAAGAATAACAATTCAGGATATAAAAAAAGAATTATCATAAATTTAAAACCAGAATCTAGTAACCAAATAGGGTTAATAAGCAACAATTTAAAAGGTTTGCTAACCTGGAAATATATAAATGTAATAGACATTTTAAAGAGGAAGATAGATGAATGCTGAAGATTTAAGAAATCCATAATAAAATAATATTAATCCTACAATTAAATAATAGCTTTTAATTGCAGGTAAAAATTAAAATGAAGTATCAATTCCATTTATAAAAAGTTTTAAAGAGTTGCTTAACCAGCGTTTTAACCAGCAAATTAATAAAAACCAATTTTTTAACCAACAACCTTATAGAAACCAATTTTTTAACCAATAAACTTATAGAAACCAAATTTTTAACCAGCAACCTTATAGAAACCAATGTTTTAGCCAAAAAACTAGATACCAATATATTAACATGCCCCCCAAATGTAAAATGAATTTTTACAAGATAATAATTAATAACGAGGAAGAAGTTAACATAAAACTCATTAATAAAAACCAAGACCAATGTTTTTATCACCATAATGATATATTATACTCTAATTATTCTGAATATTTATTATTTCTTCTCATTTTTTTGAAATTTATATAAAATAATTAAATAACAAGATCCTTTTGTCTTTTTACTTAAAATTATATCAAGATAATTTATTAAAGATAAAACCTAAAGAAATTCTAATCAAACAATTCCATCAAATTCGATCTTACTTGTAATAATCAGCAAATTACAAATTAATAGAGAGAAATCTAGAGATCACTCAGAACTATATTCATCCAAATGATGATAATTTACAATTTACAATCAATATTACTCGATTTTATATATTTAAAACCAATAATTGTTAGAGAATGAAAAATAATAAATCCAAAAATGATAAAAGGATTTTATTAGAAATTATTAAAAAAATATGAAACTGAATTTAAAGCAATCTTGGTTTGAATAAGAAGAAATAAAAGAATACGTTCAATTTTCTACTCTTTAATAAATTCTAGAATAGATCTTATTATTTTAATACTTGTATTGATAAGTGTTAATATGTTTTTAATTCATATTTTATAAACAAATGATAAAAATATAATAAATATTAATTATATATACTAATGAATAAGACCCACAGATTCAACGCTTATATTTTGAAATTTCTCTTAAAAATAACTCTCTTAATCTTGGAATTTATAAATCACCTTCTTATTCAAAATCAAGATATATAGGTCCTATCAATTAATGAATATATATACCAGGGGCAGTTGTTTCTTTCTTTTTATCTCTAACCTTTTAAAGCATGGGATGCTCTATTGCTTGATCCAAAGTTATCCTAATCTTTGGACTAAATTATAGACATTTGTCTAAAAAATCCAAAGCCTCAGGAGGGGCTCCTGGAAATATTTCTACAAAGGCAACTTTAGGTTTTTTTTGAAAACTCTTCAAATATTCAATAGCTTTTTTATCAGTAACAAAATCCATATCTCTAATTTAATTAATTGCTTTGATACTTTTCTCCAGGTGTTCCCAAGACAGAAAAGATGACAGTTAGTTAATCTGTATTAGAATAAGGAAATCCTCCTTTCTTTGCTATAGCACTTCTTTCAGGACTAAGAGGGAAACAACTTGTTCCTGGAAATAGAGGAGCTCTATCTAAAAAAGTTGGTGCATTTTCTTTCATCATATTTAACAATTCTGCAAAGATACAACCAACAGACCAAACATCAATAGCAGCAGTATAATCTTTTTCCAATAGAATAACTTCTGGAGCTCTATACCATCTTGTTACTACATGACCAGTTAATTCTCTTTTTACAGCTTTAGCATTTAATTTATTTTATTTTTATAACATTCTAGGTCCTTTTTTTTCATCTTTCTTTTTAGGCTCTTCTTATTATCTAGCAAGTTCTTCCTCTAATGCCTAATCTGTAGCATCAATACCTAGAAAATAAATAAAAATAAAAAAACCTTGAACACTTCTTGCTAATCCAAAATCACATATTTTAACAGTGCAATCTTCATTTAATAAAACATTTGCTGGTTTTAAGTCTCTATGTAAAACCTTAGCAGAATGCAAATATTTAAGACCGACACAAATATTATAGACAATTGTTTGAATATGTAGAAATTGTAAATGAATGGGGGATTTGAATAATTTTTTTAAGTCACTCTTTGATAAATAATAAATAATTACTTGAGCATATTCCATAACAACATAAATAGTATCAAATGATTTAGGATCTTATGGTTCAAGAATTTCAATAATTTGAATTAAATTTTGGTGCTTCAATTCTCTTAAAATACATATTTCTCTTAAGATTCTTTTACAATCAATTTCATCATCAAAAATTGCTGTTAATCTTAAATAATATACAAATTATATTACACCTTTTAATAGCGACTTTTTTATTTGTAGATTTTTACATAGCCTCTACAACTTATCCATATGATCCTGATCCTATTTATTTGATTATCTCATAATCATCTCCAACTTACCAATCTGAAAAGTTTTTAGGTAATTAAGATAATTTTTAAAGTTTCTATGCGTCCTACATTAAATATGTTAAGATAATAAATAAAATTATTTTATGATTCTTTTTGCAGTGAAAATTAAGTCTTTTCTTTTTTAAAAATATGATAATTTAAAATTAAACTCAATTTCTAAAATTCTAGTTTGTATCATAATTGTGGATATCCTATAAATTAGACAAGATTAAACTTTATTATAACCATAATAATATTTATTAATAAAAGGGCTTCAATATTTCTATATTAATTGATTAAGTATATAATTAAAATGTTAAGTGACGATTAAATATTATAAATAGTGTTGACTGTCGATAGTATAATACTACATTTATAATTTTACCTTACAGATGAAGTCTAATATTTGATAATGGGATTATCTTCAGTTGGATTTCATATAATTCTTTTTATTGCTGAATAATTATGGAACAATACTTCATTTAAAATGATTTTAAACATACTTAAATTAGCTTGGATACTATTTATTTCTTAATTATTGTATCAATATTGGATGGTCCATATAGGAATTCAAATTGTGTGCATTCTAAAATTAAACTAGTCAAAAACTAAATTATTGATACCTATAGTATTTACTATGCATTTGGTATCAATTACATCAGCCAATATAGATTATTTACCTACTGGAATAATTAGAAATTGTCTCTCTTATTTTTTATTACTTTATCTTTTTAAGAAACCATCCTATAATATAAATCAAGCATAAGATATCATTAAATAAATAACATCTAATATTTATATAATTTTGGATAACAATTTGAATCCACTATATGATGAAGAAAGATTTGAATAGATATAGAAAGAATAAGTGATTATTTAATAAGATGAATAAGTTGATCATATTTTAACTCATAGAGAATCAATAAAAATTGGAATTTATCCTAAATTTATAGATAATAAAAATACCTATGAATTTAAATAAGTTTTATCTTAAATAAAAACAAATAATAAAGAATGGTCTAAATAAAAATATGATACATTTACAGATTCTGTAATAATAATAAAGAAACTTTATTTGGGTAATGATCATGCATATAAATTTTGTAATTGTATAAATAAAAAAAAAGAATTTTACTATCTAGTTGTCAAAAAATAAAAAAAAAATAAATAAAATTAGAATTAAATTGATATTGCTGATGAACGCACTAAAAAAATGATGAAAACTTTAAGTAAAGTTTCTCATGATATGAGAACACCATTAAATGCAATTATTAATATGTAGCTTTGTTTAAGAGAATAAATTGATACACATTTATTCAACCGTTATTTGAAACCATCACTTAATTCTTGTAGATTGCTCTTGAATTTGGTTAATGATATTTTAGATTAAGCTTAATTATAAAATAATAAAATAAGATTAGTATTTAGAAAATTTAATCTAAAACGGTTAATTGAAAAAACTATATCAATTTTTGATATTCAAAAAGAAAAAAAAGAACTTAAAATAATACTTAATTATTGTAATAATTCATAAGTTAATTAATTTGTTAATAGTGATAAAAATAGAATTAGATAAGTCATTATGAATTTATTAAGTAATGCTATTAAATATTCAGAAGCTAAAAATAAAATTATTATTAATTGTGATTACTAAAAAATAAATTCAACCTTTATTATTTCTGTTACTGATTCAGGTTTAGGAATTAAACCAGAAAATCTATAATAATTATTTTAAGAATTTTCTAGAGTAGATGATCATGCAAATAGAGATGTAAATCCTAATGGAATAGGTTTAGGCTTATTAATCAGTAATGAATTATCAAAAATATTATCATATAATAATGAAGGAATTTCTGTTTAATCAGAATATGGAAATGGATCAACATTTTCATTTTCAATATTAAATTAAAAACCTTCTGATGAAGATTTATCAATATCTTAGTCTTCTGAAATACCTGCTTAAGAAATTCAGAAATTACCTGAATCTCATTTTTTGAATTCATAAAGTTTAAGATAAAATTCATAAGACTTTGCTGTAGCTATCAGACATAGTTCTTGTGAAAATTGTTAAGCTATACAAATTTAAAGTAATTAAGACATTAAAAAATATAATCTAAGAGTAAATTCATCTAATTTATTATCCTCTAATCGTTTATTACCTTTCAATACAGATAATGAAAAATCATATTAAAGAAAATCAACAACTTAATCTAATTTGATTATTGAATAAATAAATAGTTGGTCAGACCCATCACAAAAACTACCACCTATTTTAATTGTTGATGATAATGAATTTAACATAATTGTTCTTTAATACATATTAGAATAATTATTTTTAACTTGTGATTCAGCCATCTCTGGTGAAATTGCAATTAAAAAATGTCGTTAAAGGATAAAAGATTTTAACCAATATAAAATAATCTTTTTAGATATTGAAATGCCTGGTATGGATGGAATGGAAACAGCAAATCGACTCTTAGATATTGATAAAACTTTAAAAATAGTTGCCTGCACAGGAAATAGATAATCACCAGAATAATTAGAAGTTTACAAAAAAGTAGGAATGTTTGGAGCTATTGAAAAACCTGTTACAAAAGCTAATTTAAGAGATTTATTGTGCAAAATATTAGAATAGAGAAATGATGCTTAATTTTCTCATTACTTTTGATATTTATTTTAATAATTATTCTTTTATAATTATAAATATTAAAATTATATAAATATCAAATAATTTCTTACTTTCATAAAAACTATTCTATTGAAAATATACAGGAATAAACACTATAACTCCTTTTTTATCTTCATTATTAAGACAGTTTAACTCTAATTAGTCTCATTTTATTTGACATCAGAGCAAGTCTATAATATAATTCATTAAAACAGTATTTTTATAAAACTTTTTTTTGAAAATCAATTAAACTTGTCTTGTGTTTTATAAATATCTAGACATTATTTTATTTCTAGATGATAATGATATCCATAAAATCATTAATTTCTATCATATTATCTAATAATTGTAAAAGAAGATTTCAAAAAAAACATTTGATATGTTTTAAATAGTAAATTAATTATATAGGAAGATATATTTATTAAAATACTCCTTCAAAATAAAGTAAAGGAGAATTCTTTTAAATATAATTAAAAAATTTTAATAATATTTTTTTTCATTTAATAGCCTATCATTTATTTACATGTAAAATATATTCTATTTAGTGTTAAACCTCTTAATTAAAATAAAAATCAATATTTAATAAATGAAAGATACTAATCTAAAAATTATGTTTTAAATTATTTTATTAAAAGGGTTTATTATTATTATTATTTTATTTTTTTAAATATATGAAACCTTTAGTGATATCTAATTCACAGATAAATAAACATGAGTAAGCAAATAAAGGTTAGAATCGAATTCTTAGATATGAAGATAAGAAAGTATTTTAAGAAAATTTCTTTAAGAAAAGTAGATTATAACAAGAGCCTCAAAATTTTCAATAATACTTTTATTTCAATAATGTATTATAAAATTAAAGAAAATAAATGATTATTGAGAATACAGATTAAGAATTGTAAGAGAATTAATTAAATGGGAACTAAGTAATGTCTATTTAAGAAAAAATCATCAATTATATAATTGAATATTAATAATAATAGTAAATCAATAAGAAGTACACTTATGTTAAAAGAAAGATGTATGAAGAACTTAGAATTGAAGAATCTAAAATAATTTAATAAAAGGGCGAATCAGAATCAGTTTCAACTGATTGTAGTAATGTTGAGAAGAGCATATATTAGTAAGAGTTATCATGTGAAAAAAGTTTTACTGAATATCTAAGATTAGGGTTTGAGAATTTTTATAAAGGAGAATTTTCATAAATTTTATTTTAAGAAAATTATATAAGTCCAAAGTAGATAATTATTAATTTAAATAAAGCTTTATAATAATTTAATGAGTGTAATAAGAAAAAAATGAGGGAAGATTTAAGAGTTTGTTATATTGGTATTAGCGAAGAATTTAATTTTCATTCTATTTAAGAGGAGAAGGATTTTTAATTTTTATAAAGTTTCTCTTTTATGATCCAAAATGAATAGTCACTATTAACAGAACCTTAATAAAAACAGAACATTAATAATTTAATATAAAAAAATCAATATTACATAAAATTAAATGTATCTAATAAGATTACAAATTAAATTCATTTACTTTATAAATATTTTTTAAAATGTAAAATAAGATAATTCAAACCAAAAATAATAATTTTATTTTTAGAAATTAATGATTTCATTGATTTTGAGACATATTACTTTTAAAAATTAATTGCCTAATTAGAGAAAATTTCATAACATTCACTTATGGTTATTCCTTTATTATCTATGTATTCACCATAAAATTATGAAAAATATTTAAAATGCGCTGTGTTAATAACAAATTCATGTTTGGATTATTCATATAAAAGAAAGAATAAAGCATATTATTAATGTGATGATATTTCTGCTTAATAATATAAAGAATACAGTTAATATTTTGCATAAACTTAAAAAGAACAATAATTCTTTGCTCGTTAATACTTAGCATTGAAAGTTAGAAATAATAAATATTAATCAAACGATATGGATATTGAAAACCAATAAGAGAATTATTGTTTACCTTATGGAAAATCTGTATAAAATGAATAAAAAAAGAATATTGTAGAGTAAGAATTTTAATTAAATGTAATTGGTATTCTAAATTTGAAAAATTAAATAATACTTACTAAAATTTATGAAAAATAATCATAAGAGCCAATTAAAATTTCAGAAGTTCAATACTTTATATCTTATAATTAAGATAAAAAATAATTTATCATTTGCATTATTAAAGATGATTAATTGTTTTATTAAATATGTTCTTACAATACAGAAAGTGAAACACAAATAGAAGATTCGATTTATTTAGATGAATATAGATACTTTAAAGTACTTAAAAAGAATTGCAAAAGTTCTTATTTATTGTTAGATTCAAATTTTTATTAATTTAATGTTATAATTTCTATAGATAAATAAACTAAACAGCTAAGAAACCATAATTCAGGATTTTAGTATTTTGTATAAGTGTACAAATATAATTTAAATGAAATCTAATAACCATAAAAATATTTTAATCAAGAGCCTACTTAATAAAATACTTATAACTTAATAAATTTTACAATTACTGAACTTGAAAAAAATAAATTCATAGTATTAGGAGGTTCATATTAATCATTTTCAGAATTTTAAGATTTTAATTTACGTACATGTTCTATAATTATTGAAATTGATGAAAAAAATTAAAATAAATTAAAAATTACAGAAAATATAGGAAAATTAAAAAGTTATGAAAATTCTATAGCATAGAAAATTGATAATTTTTCTTTGATCTATTTTGAATCGTAAACTTAATATTTAACAGCACCTATTTAATCATAATTTTAAAAATTGTCTATTTTTGGAGCACAATCAAAATTGTAAACTGAAAATTATTCAATTTTAAATTAAGAGATTTTCGAATTCTATTAAAAAAAAAAGAAATTATTTAAATCTAATCAATTAAATAGCAAAATTATTTCTTAAAATAAGAAATAATTAGTATTTGTTGTGGTTGTGTAAGAATTGGTCTAAGATAATTAAAAAATATTAGATTAAGAGAATAGTATTAATGTGAAATTCCTCTCAAAATAAGTTTAATTATAAACTCATAAATTTTAATTTATTATTGAATTTGCTAAACAGACAATTGATATTTAATATGAAACTTATTAATTTATTATTGAACAGATAGAAAAAACAAATAGTCTTAGGGAATCCTGTCTTTATGTTAATGTAATTTATTTAATTTAATTTTCTAGTGGTTAGAGGACAGAAATAACCAATATATATTTCCTTACAATGGAGTTTAAAACTTATATTTATTGTATTTTCATGATAAACCTACACCAAAAACTAGAAAATTTATATTTGAAGACCCAAAAGATAAAGAAGATTATATAGATTTTGATGAAGTCATTTTAAATGATTTAGATAATGAACAACTTTGGATAGTTAGAAAAATTAATCATTAAGATCATATATCTTTAGCTTTATTTGAAAGGTATATATATATAATATTAAATTAGTGATTGGATAAATTTATAAGAAGTAAAGGACTCATAAGAAGACTCAATTACAAAAGTTCCCATTTCTTTTATATTTACAATTGCTTAAATTAAAGAAGATTTTTGTTTAATTGGCCTTGAAGTAAAATGGTAAATAGAATAAGGAAAAAAATGTCCATATTTAATCGTATGTACAAGCAATCAAATTTATGAGATTTCAATATAAATGATTAGAAAAGTAAAATGGGATAACATTTTAAGATATAAACCAAATACTTGGGAAAAAGAACCACTAGAATTTCAATAATCACCAATTTATAAATAAAAATAAGTTTAATTTAATATTAATATGTAAATTCCTACAATAGTGGCAAGTTTGGAAAATGGAGATTTATTATTGTTTTATAGTTATTGTAACGTTAATAAAGAAGTTGAAAACTAGTATTAACTTGAAATTTAGTATTTAATCTTAAAAAACTTAAATCAACAAGATAATGAAAGAATTGATTATGATGATGGTACAAAAGAATTTAAGTTTAAGACTATTAAATACAATTCGAAAAAAGAAGTTAATATTGCCAAAATAAATGCAGTTATTATATCCAAGAATGAATTTGAATTTTCAGTAATTGTAGAAGAATCTGATTCAAATTTATACAAAGTATTTTCAGGCAATGATTCAAAGGATAAAAAATAATTAATAACTATTATGAAAGAATGTAAAATCTTAAATGATGCTGCTCCTTTGAAGAATTAATGTATTATAGTTAGCTAAGATACCCAAAATGTTTATCACCTTTAATGATCTTATATTTTTTGTTATTATGTTCTAAATATATATTTGTTTTATTAAAAGACTCAAAAGCAATTAGGTTTTCAAATAATTTAAATAAATTAGAATAAAATAAATAATTATAAATTTATAAAAATCTAAAAAAAATATTCTACTTAATAATCCACATTCTTTTTATCATTAAAATAATATTTGAATCTTTCTTAATTGATTTTTATCATATATATTACTTAAAAAAAATCTTTATTATTATAAATTTTTGTGTAATAATTTTCCAATTATGATTAAATTATATTCATTTATTTCTAATAATTTTGATTATATTTCATTGTAATATCTAATTATAATACTAATTTGTGATGTTTATATAATTATAATAAGTATATCAATATATAATATCCTCATATAATTAATAAGTGATTGTGTACATTTTTAGAATATATTTGATTTTCATAGGAATTTTAATAGATAATAAAATTTAAATAAGTAATAATAAAAACTATCTTTTTTAGAGTATAAAAAGAAATGTTAATATAATTCCTAAATTAGTTAAATCTTAAAATAAATTTGATTTAATGAAATGAAATTAATTTAAATTATTTTCTATTGTATATTAGTTACAAGATTTATTTCTGTATTAATGATAATCTAATGTAAGACAAAATATATATTTTTTCTCTAATAGAATTAAATAAATATGGATGAAAAATTATTTATAATTAAAATTTAATTAATCTAAATTTAGAATAATGGAAGAATTTATAATGTAATTAATTTCAATAAATTTTATAAAAATATTTTACAAAAATTCAAGTATTTAATTCATAGAATAGTTTTGATTTCTAAAAAGTATTTGATCAAAAATTAGAAATACTCATTAAAGTAAACTAAGAAATAAATATCTTAGAGAAAATAATTTAAAATAAATATTTTAATTATATAAATTACAGTAATCCAGAGGTAAACATACTAAATATCATTCAAATAGAAAATAATTTATAACGAAATAATTAGATATTACTCTAAAATAGATAGTCTTTATTTTTTAATTATGTTTCTAAGTTACTATAATCATCAAAATAATTTATATTATCAGATAAGCCTTTTGATAGCTGCATACTTCTCTATTATATCTCTGATCTCGAATTCATTAGGTAACTAGAACAAAGATGGTTTTTTAAAATTGATTGCCAAACTTATTAGTCTCTATCTTTAATAAATTGAATTACATTCTTAGGATTATTAACAACAAATGTATCATGTATATATTTTTACCAAATCTCCTTTTTTTTTTAAGCATATTCATCTAATAATGAAAACATTAAAACTCTATTAATTATATAAACAAATACGTATCAATATGAATATGTGATCTCTCTTCATAATCATAATATGAAGTTATGCCTTTCAATTAAGCAAATTCATAAATGATATCATCAAACTCTTCTTTTATTAATCTCCAAAGCTTCTCTTTAAAGTTTCTTTTTTTGCATTTCATATTCCTAAAATTTCTTTAGATGGAAATTACTAATATTTATTAATAAAATATATATATACTCTTTGCTGTCCATCTTTAATATTTGTTCAGAACACTAATAGCCAATATTATGGATTGTAAATAAGAAGTAACTACTTTTTTAGCCTTTTATATAATTGGTTTCTTTAAAATCATGCAAATAGCATTTAATGAAAGTGATGACTTAAAAATTGTTCTTTCAATAGGAGTATCTCCAAAATCTTTAACTGAAATTAATGATTTTGTTTATAATTACCAAACTAATAATTTTCCTCTTGCTTCAAGTCGAATTTATTTTTTTTAACACTAAATAATATATAAATTACTATACTAATAAAAAATACTGTAAATTGTGAAGGAAGATAGTTGTAAAAATACATTTTAACCATGCTTTTTAAAGTGCATTTCTATATGAAACTTTTTATTTAGTCATTTTTTCAATTTCTCTATATTTTATAATCTAATCTTTCACAAATAACTTGCTCTTCTTATCTAATAATTTTTCTTCTATGATATTTTTTCCATTATTAAGTACTTTTTATTATTTGATTTATCTTTCTGATTTAATTTATTATAATGTCTCAGGATTAAGAAGATTTTATAATCTAGCTTCAGGTTGATAAAATTTTGGTTAAGACTTTTATTTTTTTGTTCTTGGAATAAAATCCTCAAACAAGGATTGAGCTTTTTATGGCTTATTAACTTTTATTTTTCTCTCAAATCCAAAAGTGACAACCACAGTACATAAAAAATCATTTTGTGAATATAATGTCATAAATAAATAGTCTTCAGTGAAAAAAGAAGTCGTATTGTTCGCGAAAATTCTAATTGATTTACTGTTTACTTAATAATCAGCATTAAATTTTGTTGGAAATTCAATTTTTAAAGAAAAATATGATCGGAGACTGTTTATTTGAGCATTTTAGCTTAAAAATGTTATCTGAATAGGAGATTCTTAATCTTTGATTCTAATTCTATAGTACTGAAATCGAAACCNTTAAGCATATTCATCTAATAATGAAAACATTAAAACTCTATTAATTATATAAACAAATACGTATCAATATGAATATGTGATCTCTCTTCATAATCATAATATGAAGTTATGCCTTTCAATTAAGCAAATTCATAAATGATATCATCAAACTCTTCTTTTATTAATCTCCAAAGCTTCTCTTTAAAGTTTCTTTTTTTGCATTTCATATTCCTAAAATTTCTTTAGATGGAAATTACTAATATTTATTAATAAAATATATATATACTCTTTGCTGTCCATCTTTAATATTTGTTCAGAACACTAATAGCCAATATTATGGATTGTAAATAAGAAGTAACTACTTTTTTAGCCTTTTATATAATTGGTTTCTTTAAAATCATGCAAATAGCATTTAATGAAAGTGATGACTTAAAAATTGTTCTTTCAATAGGAGTATCTCCAAAATCTTTAACTGAAATTAATGATTTTGTTTATAATTACCAAACTAATAATTTTCCTCTTGCTTCAAGTCGAATTTATTTTTTTTAACACTAAATAATATATAAATTACTATACTAATAAAAAATACTGTAAATTGTGAAGGAAGATAGTTGTAAAAATACATTTTAACCATGCTTTTTAAAGTGCATTTCTATATGAAACTTTTTATTTAGTCATTTTTTCAATTTCTCTATATTTTATAATCTAATCTTTCACAAATAACTTGCTCTTCTTATCTAATAATTTTTCTTCTATGATATTTTTTCCATTATTAAGTACTTTTTATTATTTGATTTATCTTTCTGATTTAATTTATTATAATGTCTCAGGATTAAGAAGATTTTATAATCTAGCTTCAGGTTGATAAAATTTTGGTTAAGACTTTTATTTTTTTGTTCTTGGAATAAAATCCTCAAACAAGGATTGAGCTTTTTATGGCTTATTAACTTTTATTTTTCTCTCAAATCCAAAAGTGACAACCACAGTACATAAAAAATCATTTTGTGAATATAATGTCATAAATAAATAGTCTTCAGTGAAAAAAGAAGTCGTATTGTTCGCGAAAATTCTAATTGATTTACTGTTTACTTAATAATCAGCATTAAATTTTGTTGGAAATTCAATTTTTAAAGAAAAATATGATCGGAGACTGTTTATTTGAGCATTTTAGCTTAAAAATGTTATCTGAATAGGAGATTCTTAATCTTTGATTCTAATTCTATAGTACTGAAATCGAAACCTTTAAATTTCTAACTTCATTTCATAATTTAAATCACATTAAGTGAGATAGTTGTTTTAATAATTAATCACCTATGTAATATTTTCTTATGGTTATTTATTTATATTAGTATAGAATTGTTGATCCAAATAATTTAATTCAGAAGTCAATGAGTTCAACATTTTTACATTGTTATAATTTTTTTCGAATTCATCATATATTTCTAGTATTTCATTTGATCTAGGAATAAGTTTTTCAGTAATTTCATCTTTATTTTTAAGAATTCTTCTTTAAGTGGTAGTTGGCGATTTATCCTATTGTATTTCAATAGTTTATTATGTTTTGCATCTAGAAGTAATGAGGGTTCTAAAACTTGGGATTGCCAATTAGGTTTGCTATTTATTTTTTAGATAATATGAATCTTAAGATTGTCGAGAATATTTAGTCTCAGAAGTAGTTAATTTGTCAAACCTTTTTATTGAGTTTTGCAAAGTGTTTTAATACATTTTTTAATATATAATACAGAATTCATTATTTAAGAGAATCAGATGAGTAACACTAACTGTCCCATCTAACTGTTTTATTACTATGTTCTCTCTGAAGAGAATTAACATGGGAAATTTATTTAAGTGAAGGTTTGAGTAATTTTTAATTGCCATCTTTATATTAAGTGGCAGATTCAAAATGTGTACCACTCATATTTCTCTTTTTTCTGATCTCAAATTATGCACTAAATCCAGGTTCAATTTAATTAATTAATTCTGAAAGACAGTCTTCATCAGCTTCCATTTTATATTTTGATGAAAAAATTTTATTCAAATTACTAGCTTAAACACTTGATTTAGCAAATGCTTCGTTATCCTCTTCAATTGTCATCTCTGTTATACAATAATTTCCCATTTTCAATAATTTTTTTATAGTCCAGAATCAATTTAATTAAGTTTATTTAGTTTTGAATATTTCTATAGTTTTCAAATCAATTTCTGTGGTTCAAGCTTAAAACTTACAGTATTTCCTGACAGATTATAATAAAATTGTAATGAAAATAATACTTAAATAAAATCACTATTATATTTAAACCAAATATCTAATTCTAACTCTGTTCTCATCGTAAATTATATATTCAGTTTAAGCAGTTTTGAAACCATGTGAATGTCCTAGTTTTTCTTTCAGATGTTCAGGAAAAGGCTAAGAAACAATATTACCAATTGGGACAACACATCCGTTTGGTAATTTAATTTATGACATAGTATCTGGACCTTAAGAACCTACTACCCTTAAAGTTATTTCAGGTTCTAATTATTATAAAATTAATTACTATAGTAGTTACTGATATCTTAATCTTGATATTGATATATATCTACTTGATTTTAACAACTGACCTCACATAATAATAAATATCTGTATTTCTGTAGATTTTGACATTATTAATTATTATTACGATAATTCGATCTAATTGTATTATCATTAGTATAATTATAGCTCTTGGAAAATTGATCTGCAAAATAGATTCCTTTTCCATATAAAGCTCCAGTATTTACAGCCCAAGCAGGTGCAACTAATTAATAAAATTAATATATTACTTTTTAATCCAAGTGCCATTAAACTTATGAAATTTGATATTTTAGAACCATGCCATAGCAATATTCTGGGTGCATTATTAAATTGCTCAAATTTCTTTGCCTCTCCTTTTCTTTCAATAGCAAAAATATTAGAAATCTTAAGAGATTAAGTCTTACCCATATAAGTTTATATCATCTTATATTCTAAATCTTCTTTTGTTAATGTAAGCATTTTAATATTCAAAGCATTAAAACAATATGTTAAAGGGTGGATTATATTTGATTTAAAATGTGCTCCTAAAAGTATTTTAACCGAAAGTTCTATATTTATAAGAACTTCAACTAATTATAATTATTAATTAATTATATCATCGTTTTCTAGTAAAGGTAATACATTTTATCTCATTTAAGTTTAAGGTATAATTTCATAATATCTAGCTGATTTCTCATTAATTTCTGAATAATATTATTATAATTTTTTTAGATCTCTATCTGTTAATTACATATATTCAGTAAGTTCTTTAACAATTTCCTTAAGTTCTAATAAATATTCTTTTGCTTTTAAAATAATATTTTTATTTAATTTTTCTAAAGGAACAAAACTTGTGTCAAAATGATAGTTTTATAATTCTTACTGATACAATTTAACTTGTGAGAATTATTCAATGACAGATTAAATACTTTAATGTAATTAACACTTAGGATATGGAGATTTATCACTTAAATCAAAAGGTTATAAAAATGTTTTATAACTTACATTGTTACTTAATTGCATTAATTGATATTTTTCTGGTTTCTTTTCAAATTCAATTTCACCTCTTTTTATTAATTTCCAATTATTTCCTCCAGTTTTTGATGAAAAAATCTTACAATATTCTTTAATTGTAGTTTCTAAATTTTCAAAAGGTGTCATTTAAAATTAACCTACTTCTCCAATTTAACCCCATTTTGTAAATAAAATATAATTATTTCTATTTCGATCCAATAAAATTTGCATTTTATAGAATATATTTTTATGGAAATTCTTATTCACTATATCTACTTTTGACATCAAACATTAAAATAGTCCATATTCTGGATCTTCATAAACAATTAAATCTCCTTTTGTTATGTGAGCTTATTTATCAACAATTTATTTATTATCAATTTCAGGTTCTAATTACATATTCATAATTCCTTAATATTATTATGCATCTTCTTCATAATCTAATTCTTAATCTGGCCACAAAGCAGTTGATATAATTGATGTTGGCATTCTCTACTATCTTAAACTTCTAGTATGATGAGCATTTAAACTTAATAATTCTTCTTTCATTACTTAAGCATCAAAAATTAAAGCATAATCTAAAGGTGTTAATCCTTTATTATCTTAAGTATTATAATCAAATAATGGAATTAATAATTTCAACATTTCTAAATTTTCATAAGATCCAAATTCTAATGGTAATACAACATGATGGATTGGACTTTTACCATCTTTATCTTTTGCATGATATTCACTTTTAAAAGTAGGTTATTCTAGGATAAATTGTAATAATTTGATATTATTATTTTGAATTACCATTGTTATAATAGTTTTTCCTTCTTCATTTTATTCATTTATGTCAACTCCATAATTAATAAAGGTTTTTAAAACATCAATATTAATAATTTTATGATAATTTACTAAAAACATAAAAGGTTTCATATATTAACCAGTACTAATTAATTGAAATTGTACATCTATTTTCAATCCATTGTTAATAAAAATTTTGAAATTTGAATTGTAATTTTTTTAAAGTAAAATAGTAAAGGGATTATTTTAAGTTGAATCCATTATATTAGGATCACATTTTTTAGTTTGAAGAAAGTAATTTATCAAAAATTAATCTTGATTTTCAGCTGCATAATGTAAAGGAGTTTTTAATAAACTATCCTACAAATATGGACTAATTTCTTTAGTTTCAAATTCCTCTATAATTTCCAATTTAAGATCTGATTTAACATTAGATGAAAATTTAGCAAATAAATGATATAAATTTTAACCTTTTTCATCTAATCTTTGTACATCTCTTATATTTTTTACTTTCATTAATAGAGTTAAAACTAATTAAAATTAATTTGCATTAATTGCATCTTGAATAGCTTTGACAAATTCATATCCATCACTAATTAATAAATATGCTACTCCTTACCAACCAAATTTAATAGCTTATGAAAAATAACTATATTTTCCTGTGGATAAGTGATTATGCAAATGTTAAGGTATATCTAAATCATTTTTAAGTCTTTCTTAAATAAGTTATTCAATAATCTTATTTCTCTATATTATTTTATCTTTACGTCTTCTTCTAAATATAATAGGTTATTCATTTTTAAGTTTACTATTAATTTATTCATCATTATCAGATTCTTCTGAAATTTGATCATTTTTTTGATTAGTTTTTTAAATTTCTTATTAGATTTTCTCCAATTATACAATTCTCTCTTCCTATTTTGTTTTTAATAATTTGGAATTTATTTCTTAATCTTCAGCCATCATAATTCTATTTACTTCAGGATCTTCTTTAACTTCTTCTTTGTAAATTTTATATTTTTCTGATTTATAATCACTTTCACTAATGATAGTTATTTCTTTATTAACATTTGCTTTATTATCAATAAGCATTGTACTAAAATTAGAATGTTAAAAAAATGCATATGCCAAAGGAGTATTATTAAAATTATCAGGTTCATCAATTTTAGCACCCATTTTAATCATATACCTACCTGAAATTGCACTTCCCCTTAAAGCAGCATAATGTAAAGGGTATCTTCCATATTTATCTCTAGCATTTACATCGCATTCTGCATAAGCCAATAAGGATGAAACAGATTCAAAAGGATCTATTTCTTTAGTACTTTTTGGATCATCAAATTTTGTAAAAGCATAAAAGAGAGGAGTTCTATTATAAACATCTAGTATGTTACATTTGGCTCCAGATTTAATTAGAATCTATTCCATTTAAAAACTAGCATTTGCATTTGGATTACTAAAATTAGTAGCATAATGCAAAGCTGTTCTTCCATACTTATCTTAATAATTAGGATCTAATTTAAATCTCTAAAGTAAAGATTTCACAGCTCTTATATCTGATTAAGATACAAATTTATGTAATGGTACCATATTTGAATTATTAATATCATTAATTAAACCTCCTAAATTCACAAGTTTTTCTAATAATGGTATATAGCTATCATTATATTTTTAAGCAATCATCAAAGTTGGTGTATTACCTGCAGAATTCTTTTCTCTAAAATTTATTCCTAAAGAGATTAAATAATCAAAAAAAATTTCAGAAGTCTCCTCATTTTACCTCTCTAAAATAACTTAATTTAATTGATAATTCTAAAAGAAATAATGGACTGGTTAACCAAATAAATCATGTTCATATATTAAATCTTGTGGAAATAAATTCTAAAGTTCTTTAACAAATGAAACACTTGGAAAGAATTAAAAGGCTAAATGAAATACATTACTATTTTAAAATGGAGATGTTTCTTTTTCTTTATCTCTGCACCATTTTTATTTAATAATTTTGACTCCTGTATCAGCACCTTTAGATATTAATAATTTCAATATTTCAAATAATTAGTTTTAATATCTATATCCATCTTAAACTCTCTATCCATCTAATTCAACAGTTTCCTCTAACGTTAATCCAATCTGAACATTAATTTTCTCAAATGTATATCTTGAGCCATGATTTACTTATTTATTTTTTGTTAATCTTTATTAAATTTCATTTTAAAAAGCATAATAAGGATTAGCTTAAGGATTCTATAATATAATATTTTTAAATTCTTCTTCCTTAGATTTATATTCCTCAATAATCTTATCCCAAATTTACTATTTATGTTGTAATACTTTTTAAGCAAAGTCTTATTAAATTCTTTAAGCTATGCTTTATACAAAACTATGAACTAATCTTAACAATGGTAAATATCCATCTTGATCATAAAAGTTGATTAATGAAGAATTTATTTTATTTAAAATTATCTCAAAAGTTTAGATTGCTTCCATATTATAATAAAATTAGTTTTCAATCATTATATGTAAAAAGGTTTTGTCAGCATTATTAACTAGATTGACATCTACCTCTGTAATATTTAATAATTCCTTTATTAGAGTATAATTTTTTTATTGTAAACAAAGAGAAAAGGCTGATTAACCATTTTCTTTTTCTTAAGAATTAATATTTGCTCCATTTTACAATAATAATTTAACAAGTTATGTTTGGATCTAAGATTACTAAGAACCAAGAATATGCAATAAACAGGTTCTACCATCTTTATCTTTGATGTGTATATCAGCTCCATTTACTAATAATAATTTGACTAATTCAACTTATAAATCTGATTATTTACACAACAAGGCATGCTGTATACATGTTTTTCCAAATTTGTCTTAGATATTTATTTGAGCTTTTTTCTCTTTAATAAGATATTAGATGAAATCAAATTGATCTTAAGTAGAGTTGAATTCCTTTATCAAACTAGCTATCAAAGTTAATCCATCATCATCAATGCAATTAACATCAGTATCATCATATTTAAGTAATTCTTTAACAATTCCAAAATGGTTTTTGGCTAATGCAACATTTAAAGGAGTCAATTTCCATGAATTAAATTAATTTTAATCAACTTTTACTTCAATTAAAGTTTAAACACATTCTAAAAAACCATAAGCTGCAGCATGATGAATAAGATTATTTTTTGATGAATCACTAATAGTTACATCTGCTCCATAATAAATTAATTTAGATAAAATAGTTTGATTTCCATTTCTTGCAGCCATAATCAAAGGAGTTCTACCAAACTTATCTTTAGCATTTATCCTAGCTCCTTCATCTAGTAAATATTCAACCAATTCTAAATGATTATATGCACATGCATAATGTAATGGAGTCATTCTATTTTTACCTGCAATATTTATTAACACACCATTATTAATGAGTATTTTTACACATTCTGTATGTCCATTTTAACTAGCTAAATGAATAGCACTATTTCCTTCTTTATTTTTACCCTTAAGATTAGTATCAAGTAATAATTATATATTATGTGCTCTTCCATATTTTGCTGCTATCATAATAGGTGTTGTTAAGAATTTATCTCCTTCTCTTGCATCGACTCCATTGTCTAATAAATATTGTAAACAATTAGAAGTTTATGATGCAGCTGCATAATGGACAGGTTTTCTACCATTTTCATCTTAACAAGTATATTCCATTGTTTATTGCATAAAATATCTCAAAAATTATTCTGATGGATTAATGCAAGCACAAAAAATAGGAGTAATTAGGAAATCATTAGATGTTTTTTTTGTAATTGAAACCTTTTTAATTTAATCCAATTTATATGTACTAAAATTATCACCCAAAGCATCATGATGGAGATAATTAAATCCATATCCATCTTGATTATTTACAATAGAGTAATTAATTAAGTATTTAGCAGACTTCCAATTTCCACATCTTACAGCCTTTGAAACATTTTCTATTAATTAATTATCAAATTCATAATTTTTGGAATCAAGGAAGAATAGTTCATATAATTAAGGATCAGTTTCAATTTCCAATAATTTTTAAAAATAATAACTTTCCTCTTCTTCATCATTTAAATCATAAACAAATGCATTATTTCCTTCTCTATTTCCTCTTCCTAAAGCAACTTTTCTTAATTTTACTCCATATGCATGTTTATTGTTATAGCCTGTATTAATTTCTTTTAATGTGCAAGCATTTTCTCGACCTAGAATAACTTTATTTTTGTTTTATAAATAATAAGACAATAATTCTTTATCTTATTTTCTTAATAAAATTTCTTCTGCTGATATATCTAATTCTGGTCCCCATCTATCTTCAACTGAAGATAATTTATATTATTTTGAAAATATATCTTCCATTAATTTCTTATTTCCTGTTTATGCTGCTCGAATCACTTCTTTATTGTTTGCTTTCATACTTTGACGATCTATAAAATAATCTTCAGTTCCTTCAAATTATGAATTAACACTTTTTAAATTTTTATATAAATCCCTAAATTTCTTACTCTTTTATTTTCCTTTCTTTTAATCTTTTTCTTCTTTTTTTCTTGATATTCTTTATTTTTTTGGAACTGGATCTTCTTCTGCTGAAGAATATGAATCATTTGAATCTTCATCATTTTCAATCTATTTATCATCAAAATCTTCATTTTATTTATTATTTTTCTTTGATTTTTTTTGAGGAAGCTCATCTTCATTGTCTTCATCATCATAATATTTTTGTGTTTTTTCAATTATTGATTTCTCTTCATTTATTAGACTACGTATTGCTTATGAATATATTTCTAAATCCACAACATAAATAGTTTCCTCAGAATTGATTATTGATACACCTTCAATCAAAGTCCTTGAATTATAAATATATAAATACCATTTATTTTAGAAATCAAATGTTCTTTATTCTTAACACTTATATTACTGCTTATTTCTTTTTATTCCTTCAAACTTTACTAATTCTGTAACTTTAACCATCTAATCATTAACAATCCAATCTTCCAATATTTTTAACAATTTATAGTCAGTTTCTTCCTTGCATAATATTATTTAGTCTTTTTTTAGTAATTATTCCTTTTTGCCTCGTTAACTTCTTAAATTTCTTATCATTCAAATTATTTGTAATAAAATTAATTTATTATTTTACCACAATTTCTGAAATCAAACTTTTATTTTCTGATGGAAATATATTAAAAATTAAATTATATATATATATATATTTAAATCAGTACTATTGTCCTATTTTATGATGGATTAAAATCCTAACCACATCACTAATATTTAGAAATGATAATTTAATGATATATTCATATCTATTTTTATTAGTAAAATATATAAATAATATGAAAATATGATATCTATTAAGTTTAATTTGACAATATTTAAATTATTAAAGATATAAATTTCTTAGTTATTTAGATTCATATTATAATTTAATCATTTTTATATTTTCTTTTTTTTACTTTTGTTTTATTTTGAATCAACTGGAAGGTTTGCTAAGAGAATTCCTGGCTTAGGTAGAGGCACTTTATAAGGATTAGCATGTCCTTAAGGTATCAATATAGATTTTTAAAGAATATTAATAGGAACAAATTTATTAGCAGATGCTAATCTATTTTTTAATTGTTTAATCTCTCCAATCTAAATAATTGAATAGAATTATTATTACTTAAGAGTCTAATTCTTATTTAATACTATGTGTTTTTAAAATCGAACTAAATTATCTCTTAGGTTATGTACTCTTAAAACAACTAGAAGACATAATCCTATTACTTTAAATAGTTTCTTGATTAGGATTGTTTATAAGACCACCTGGTAAACAAGCTCCTCTAGACATTTTTAACAATTAAAGTCTTTATGAATTAATTTATTTTTCAAGATCAGCTTATTTGCTTTAAAAATCTTCTGCCTCTTCCTCAACTTAAGAAGGTATGACAGTGTTTTAAACTATCTTAGCCATAGGTACTGCACTCTATACCATTCTTGCTTTTGGTAAAGAGGATCTTTTAAGATAATTAGAATATGCTTTTTCTTCAGCCAAATCCATTTTTTTAGATTCATATAAATCCGAAATTTTGATTCCAACATTAGAATATTGTGAACCCATGGCTGTTAACTAATAAAGATTATAATTTAAATATACATATTCAGATTGAAGTACCATTTCATCAATTCTACTTTTATTAGATGCCCAATCTTTCATTGATTAAACCATTTCTATATCTTCTCTTTATTCTTTTACTTCTTTAACTCTTTATTCAGTATAATATTAATTTAATCTAGCAGCTACCATTTTATCTTCAATTTGAGTAGGATCATAATTATGAAATGTTCCTTAAAATTCTCCTAATCTATCCTTTTATCCAATTTAATAGGCATTTTATGTTTCGATATCTGTCTTATAAGTTTTATTTGTAGGAGCAATACTAATATATTTATCAGATCTTCCTTTTTTTTTTATCTTTTTTATTGGTGCTATTTCTTATTAAGATGCTAAATTTTTGTTTGATTCTTCTAATTTATCTGGAGATTAATCTTCATCCTCTTCTTGTTCTTATTCAATACCTTCAATTTACTCTAATTTATCTCTATCAGTTGGTTTATCAGCTTTTAAAGGAGATTCTTCCCTTTGAATTTATCTTCTGGTTGATTTTTATTATTAATCATCATTAGTTTAGAGTACTGGAAAATTAGGATCATACATCCAAGATTATTATTATTTAGGAATTGTATATTATTAATTAGTTTTAGGTCTTTAGAGTTTTTCAACTTAATCAATCATTTTATAGGTAGTTTGAGAAGTTTAAGGTCTAGTAAATTGTGAAATTCCTAACACTCCTGGAGTAGTACCAGGACGAGTACTAGTATCTGATAAAAGGTTTTTTCTTTAATAGGTTTTAACTCTATCTTCAGGAGGATCAAATTCAGGATGGACCGATCGAAATTTAAGAGCATAGTCTTCAATTCCAGATGCATACTTATTTTCATTATATGTATTAGGAATAAAGTGAAGAGTCTTAAATATTAATAAATTAATTACAGAGTCCTTTTTCTCAAGTAGAGATTATTTCAATGAAGCAGTTTAAGATTTTGGCAATTAGGAAAAGAACCAATTAGATACTTTATTTAGAAAATCTTATTGTTATATTTTGTTCCTTGTACTAACCACTTCTAATAGTGAATTTTTTAGTTATCTATAAAGATTATCAGAAACTAATGGATCTTATAATTTGATTTGTTCAGCTCTATAAAGTGTTATTTTTTCATTCCAATTCATAATTTCCTGTTTCATCATCTAAAATAAGGGATTTTTATTTAAGTAACCTGAAGTAAGACCATCAAGATCTANATAATTTAAATATACATATTCAGATTGAAGTACCATTTCATCAATTCTACTTTTATTAGATGCCCAATCTTTCATTGATTAAACCATTTCTATATCTTCTCTTTATTCTTTTACTTCTTTAACTCTTTATTCAGTATAATATTAATTTAATCTAGCAGCTACCATTTTATCTTCAATTTGAGTAGGATCATAATTATGAAATGTTCCTTAAAATTCTCCTAATCTATCCTTTTATCCAATTTAATAGGCATTTTATGTTTCGATATCTGTCTTATAAGTTTTATTTGTAGGAGCAATACTAATATATTTATCAGATCTTCCTTTTTTTTTTATCTTTTTTATTGGTGCTATTTCTTATTAAGATGCTAAATTTTTGTTTGATTCTTCTAATTTATCTGGAGATTAATCTTCATCCTCTTCTTGTTCTTATTCAATACCTTCAATTTACTCTAATTTATCTCTATCAGTTGGTTTATCAGCTTTTAAAGGAGATTCTTCCCTTTGAATTTATCTTCTGGTTGATTTTTATTATTAATCATCATTAGTTTAGAGTACTGGAAAATTAGGATCATACATCCAAGATTATTATTATTTAGGAATTGTATATTATTAATTAGTTTTAGGTCTTTAGAGTTTTTCAACTTAATCAATCATTTTATAGGTAGTTTGAGAAGTTTAAGGTCTAGTAAATTGTGAAATTCCTAACACTCCTGGAGTAGTACCAGGACGAGTACTAGTATCTGATAAAAGGTTTTTTCTTTAATAGGTTTTAACTCTATCTTCAGGAGGATCAAATTCAGGATGGACCGATCGAAATTTAAGAGCATAGTCTTCAATTCCAGATGCATACTTATTTTCATTATATGTATTAGGAATAAAGTGAAGAGTCTTAAATATTAATAAATTAATTACAGAGTCCTTTTTCTCAAGTAGAGATTATTTCAATGAAGCAGTTTAAGATTTTGGCAATTAGGAAAAGAACCAATTAGATACTTTATTTAGAAAATCTTATTGTTATATTTTGTTCCTTGTACTAACCACTTCTAATAGTGAATTTTTTAGTTATCTATAAAGATTATCAGAAACTAATGGATCTTATAATTTGATTTGTTCAGCTCTATAAAGTGTTATTTTTTCATTCCAATTCATAATTTCCTGTTTCATCATCTAAAATAAGGGATTTTTATTTAAGTAACCTGAAGTAAGACCATCAAGATCTATCTAATCTATATATTAAATATGTACTATTTGTAAAACTGGCTTTTCATTCAATCTATTTAAATCATCAATCTTATATCCTGTTCTATCAAGTCTTTCATTTAATTGTTCTTCAATTGTCAATGGAGGAGGAATCAATGGTTTGCCATTTAGAATGAGAGCTCTCTCCATTTTCATTTTATTTATATAAATTTTATTGTTTTATGTGTATGGTGAAACTTTAACAATCTATGAATATAAAATCATTTCTAAGGTTGTTACCAATAATCATTTTGATATTATTATTATTATTATTGATAATGTTGAGGATACTATTGATATTATTGGTAATCATAATATTAATATGGATAATAAGAATAGTATTATTATTGATTTCGTTACTGCTACATCTAATATTTGTATTATCTTAATGCTTATTCTCTTTCATCTATCACTGTGAAATCATTCAATATGCTTTTTTTATCTGAAAATTCTTCAAATATTTTCATCATCTACTTCCCAGTTTCCCAACTCAAAAATACACCATCTCTAGATCTAGTCACTTCAATATTATCACTATTCACAGTTATAATTAAATTCTAACCTATTTCTTAAATGCTCAAAATGTTTATTAGGTACATCCTTTACATATAGCCATTACACATTGAAATGTCCTTTCCATTTCTTTATCTCCCACCAATATTGAAAACTCTCTTCTTTATATCCAGAAGTCAACTTTGCCACTCCAACAAATTATCCACTTCTAACTACACTGAAAAACAAATAAACTGGAATTCCTTCTTGTTGAGCCTCTAAATACTTTGCATTCAATTTTTCATTGTTTTCTTTACTTGATGTCCAAATTCCATATTTTATAGACTATTTTCAATAATTTATACTTATTACCTTATGAATATCATCATCATTGTTACTACGAAGAATGTATGTATATGCATTATTAGCATCTGCCAGATGTCTGTCACTTTAATTTATTTACTTCAAAGCAGGTATCAATTTTGATGCCTATTCTAAGTTTGTATAATCTTAGCATGAAATGTATGGAACTTTTAAATCTCGTTTATTTCTAACATATGGTTCAAAATGATTGTTCATTAATTTTTAATCAAATTTAAATAATAATAATAACTAATATATTCATTTCCACTCTCTAATAACACTTTCTCATGATATATTATATTTTTTAAATCCCTAATTTTTTATTAAATTAATCTATTTTTTATAAAGCATCATTGAAATTATTTCCCTAATAATCTAATAAAATCATTATTAATTGATGGTTTATAAAATAGATTTTATTTATTAATGAATATAAATAATATATGTATACAAACAAAATAACTTATAAATATTTACAATAAATTGTTATTATTGTATTTTCAATCAAGAAAATTTAGAAATTAGTCTAATTTACTAAATATTATAATATATTTATATATCTTTAAGTCTAGATGTATTCTTCTTTTTGGTTAGGTAAAAACAAAATAATATTTTTATTAATATTTTTATTCATGAAGAATTTAGTTTATATTATTATTAATTTTGCGCGACGTTAATTATTTTAACGAATAAATTATGGAAATTAAATACAACCGATCCCTAAGTGGAGTACCAGAAAATCAATCATAATAACCTCTCAGAAGAATAACCAAAACTTATATAGAAAACAGAGACCCTGTAAGAAGAAACTTAACTTAATTGTATAATGAAGGTAAAAAGATTATATTATTGGAATTAAGACACCCAACAAATTAATAAGTCAATGCTTGGTAGTAATAATGACTTAAGGAGGAAATAAGAAAGAGTTAAGAGATCTTTCAATTAAGATATACTAGAAGATAAAGAGAATGTGCCTTAACATAAAGCCATTTCGTCTAAAATTTATACTCTTCCATAAGAATTTTCTGCTATTACAATTAAGTAGAAATTTGATCATACTATTTAAGAGAATAAAAATCTCTAAAAATAGTATACGGATGAAATATTTTTCTATTTAAAAGAATAAGAAGTATTTATGAATATAATATTATTAGAAAAAATCAACTCCATTAGAATGGTTAAAAAATCATTCGATTCCAAATAATTTGAGAGCCAAAATGATAGATTGGATGGTTGAAGTTTTATGTTCATACAAATGCACTGATTAAACATTTTTTGTTGCAGTAAGGACAATGGACTTTTATTTTTCAAAATGTGAAAAACAATTAGAAGTATCAGATTTACATTTATGTGGTGTAACTTCAATGTTCATTGCTGCAAAATATGAAGAAATTCATCCTATGAAATTATCTGTTGTTTATGAAAAAATAGCTCATAAAAAATTATCAACAGATCAAATAAAAAAGAAAGAAAGTGATATTTTGTAAACTATTGGTTTTGATCTTGTTGGTGGTACTCTTTATGATATGTATAATCTTATACTAACAAATTGTTTTATTGAATAAAGATTACAAGATAAAAACTACAAATATCTCAAAAAACTTTGTTTATATCTCTCTAAAATGGTACTCTATGAATATGAAATTTGTGGTAAAACTAATTACACTTTATTGGCTTCTGCATTAATTTTTGTTGCCTTTAAAATTGTAGAACAATTAGATTCTAGTTTTAATGCAGATAGTTAAGTATAATTTTATATTAATTCATAGATTAAAGATGTAGCTTAAATTATTTAAGTTGATTAAGATTAGTTAATAGAAATTGCAGCAAAAGTATTGAATCTAGCCAAAAACTTTGAGAAACATTTTCCTAATTTGGAAAATTTAAAAAAATTTAATGGATTTTAGTTAGAAGATGTTGAATAATGATCTAAACTTATGTATATTACTTTTATTTAATTATATGTAGCAGACAAAAAAATATTTCTAATGTACTTCTATATTTAATAAATCAATCAGCTTTCTTAGTGCTTTCAGTGGTATGTTTCTCACCCTTTCCCTTTGTTGAAACTTTGGCTGAAGCCTTTCTTGCTAACAATTATTTTCTGTCTTCATTAAGGTAGGGTTTTGTAATGATGCATTATGATGGTCTAATTGGGATTTAATATGGCATTCCTAAAATAACAATTATTAATTTACCATTAGCTTTTGTTCTTGTGAGTTTCTCGATTTAAATTACCCATCTCTTTCTATAAACTGATGAAACTTTACCCTTAGTACCCTTATGTGTGCCTATTATTCTCAATTTATTATTATACCCCTAACAACTGTGACTTCATCATCCTTTCTTACAGGTAATGCTCTAACATTGTATTTCTTTCTTAAATCCTTTGAAAGATGAGCACTCATTAATTTATATCTAATGTTTGATGGTGCTCCCAATTGGGCTCTTCTGCCCTTTCTTCTTTAACTTGAAACTTCGATGTGGGTTTTCATTTTGAAAAAGATTTAATTAAAAATAAATTTTTTGTTTTTTTCTTAGTACTTTCATGCAATAAATTAAAATTCAATAAATTCTTATAGAAATACCATCTGATTCTAATCTAAAGCTCATTTCTATTTTTATATTTTACATACATTCTATTACTTATTCATTTTACAATCTAAAAATAAAGATGATGCTAATGCAATCAAACTATTTAGTAATATTCAATTAAATATACAATTGATTTCTCTAATTTAATAAATATTATTGGTAATTAATTTTAGAATAAGTATGCATGAGAATAAGTGATTACTCTTCCAATCATAAGTATTTTATCAAAATGATATTTCAAATTATTATAGTGCTTTCAAACTTCCCATAAAACATAAAAAAATATCAATTACAGAAATTCTACTTTAATAATGGTATTACATTCAATTAATTAATTCATTTCAATTAAAGATTGTATTTTTCTTTATCTATTCTTGGTTGTTATATGTTTAATTAATCCAATTTAATTTAATCTAGCCAATTAAAAGTAAGCTTTATTTTGCTTTTAAAATTTTGAATTTCTTCATAGAAACATTATGATATGAAATAGAAAGTGAGTGAAGAATCTATATTAGAAAACATTATCTAAATGATAATCATTATTAAACAATTTTATTTGAGCTCAATATATAGTAATAAAATATAATTTAGTTTTAAGCAAAAAGTGAGAGAAAACTATTTTTAAAAAAGAACCATGTTTAAAGAGGAAGTTAAGATTAATTAATTAATCCTGAATGAAAATAAAACTCATGCACCAAATCCATAGAGAGTTCTTCCTTATCTCTTTAATGAGTAAACAACATCCATAACAGTTACAGTCTTTCTTCTAGCATGTTCAGTATATGTGATAGCATCTCTAACAACATTCTCCAAAAAGCTCTTTAAAACATTTCTAGAGTCATCATAGAGGAATGAAGAAATTCTTTTAACTCCTCCTCTTCTAGCTAATCTTCTGATAGCAGGTTTTGTGATTCCTTCAATAGAAGCCTTGTTTGGTTTTCTAGCATGTCTTTTTGCACTAACTTTACCGATTCCTTTTCCTGATTTTCCAGCCATTTTTCTTTATTTTTGAATTAAATAAATATAATTAAAAACTGGAGTTTGTAAATGGGATCAAAATCCAAATGATGCCAAAATTAGCCAATCAAATTTTTCTTAACAATTTCATTTTTATAAGCATTGTTTAATAATTATATACGCCATTCTTTTTATTTTTAATTTATTCAAATAAATCATTATAATAATTCTCCATCTCTTACTAATTTAATAATTTTTATATAAATAATCCTGTCATCTATTTCACTTAAACTATTAAATTTTCAAAAATTTATTATGCATTTAAATTATTATAAAGTAATTATAAGTTTTTATTAATTAGTTTCATCCCTATATTATTTAATGATATTCATATTATACAATATTAATAGAAGCTATTATTATTTAAATTGAGTATAATAATAAATGATTAGTAAGATGAAGCATTAAAAAATAATAGATTTGGTAAAATTATAATATTAGTTCGAACTTCAAAAAATTGTTTATTTAAAGGATACATATAATTTATTATCGTATTCTGTAGGCTAATTTAAAGGATGTGTGTGTTAAGATAAATAAAGCATTTATGATTTATTAATATATGAAACTCATATATATATAAATTAGATATGTTAGTAAATTCTCAAAATTAGATTTCTCATTCACTAATTTATTTAGATTACGTTTTCTCTTTAAAAATTTTAATAATTATATTAAGATGAAGTAGATAAATTTAGAATAGTTAAATAATTAATTAATAAATAATATTTATAAAATTAAATGATACTCATGCTAATCCTCTTTCTTTCATAACTTCCAACATTGTTTTACCAATTTAAGCAGGTGATTTCACAACTCTAATTCCAGCTTGTTCAAGAGCTCTAATTTTTTCAGGTGCACTTCCCTTTCCCTCTATAGAATAAATAAAATAGTAATATTACTTGATACAATGGCTCCTGCATGCCCCATTCTTCTTTCAGGAGGTGCAGTGATACCAGCAATGAAACCAACAACTGGTTTATTTTTTGGATTATTATTTTTAATCCATTCAGCTGCCATTTCTTCATTTTCACCACCAATTTCTCCTATCATAACAATTCCTAAAATAAATTAAAATAAAATAAATACCTTCAGTTTCTGGATCAACCATGAATCTTTCTAAAACATCAATAAAATTAGTTCCATTGAATGGATCACCACCTATTCCAACAACAGTTGATTATCCTAATCCAGCTCTTGTTGTTTAATCAACAGCCTCATAAGTAAGAGTACCAGATCTTGAGACAATACCAATTTTTCCATTTTAATGAATGTATCCAGGCATGATACCAATTTTGCATTCATTTGGCTTAATGATACCTGGACAATTAGGCTGAAATGTAAGTAATATAATCATACACCAATGACACGAGTGACTGATTAAGATCTTAAAGCATGCTTGACTCTAATCATATCATGTTATGGTATACCATCTGTAATAACAACCTTTACATACTAATAGTAAATATACCACTAAACCAATTTAAGCTTCAATTGCTTCAATGATAGCTGCAGCAGCTGTAGGAGGAGGAACATAAATAACTGAGGCATCACATCCTGTACTTTGTTTGGCTTCTTGACAATTCTTAAATACAGGTAATCCAAGATGAGTGCTTCCGGCCTCTATCTTATAACTTCAATTTTTACTCTTTGGTGACACTCCACCAACCATTTTAGTGAAATAGTTTAAGGCTTGTTCTGTTTAGAAGGTACCCTATAATTATTTAATATCAAAAAATACCTAATTACCAGTGATACCTTAACAGATCACCTTGGTATGTTTATTAACCCACACATAAGGAGCTGTGGTCGATGAAAATGCACGAAAGATTTATCTGCCAATCATTTATTTTATTTAATCAATATTAATTAAACTTAAATAAATCACTTTCTCAAATTAAACAATATAACTACATCAATTCTATTCTTTTTTTTAAATGTATTTCAATCATTATTTATTAAATATAATTGATTCAGTTTTTGCAAAAACAAAATTTTATGTATTTATTAAATGAAATAATATTAATCATAACCATAAAAGTCTCCTTCGAACAAAGAAAAGAGTAACACAGTCTTCACTTAAATGGACTCTGTTGAAAATGGTTGCTCAAATGATAGTAAATAACATGATCAATATTTCAATCAGATTATCTAAATGTTATAAAAAAGACAAGAGTTTTAAGAATAAGAATACAGAATTAAAGTTGCTTCTTTATAAAAAAGGATTAAATATTTAATTTAAATTAGTTCTTAACTTACATAATAAAATACTTAACTAAAATTATAATATTCTGATTTAGTCAAAGAATATGACATTATGAAAGACAGAATTATTAATTATGAAGGAATTATGAAAACTAAAAATTCAGATTATTAATAAAGTTTAGATGAAGTAACTAAATTAAAAACTGAAAGAGAAAAACTAATAGGATTAGCCAATAAGTATCATGAAAGATCAAAAATTAGATAGAAATAAATTATCGATTAAGAAACCGCTATCACCATTTTACATAAATAAGTTAATGATTTATAAAAGGATAATCTAATATTAGTTTCTGAAAAATAAAATTTATTATTGCAATTTTAATAAAACCCTTAATTTGCTAATTAATAATAAAATATATTGCAATAAGAAATTGCAACTAAAATATCATAAAATATAGATCTATCCAATAAAAATGAAATACAATAAATTATCAAACGATTTTTGAATGATTATTGCGTTCATCTTACTTATATTAATAATGAGACTAATCAATTAGTAGTTTTACTAAAAGAATATCATGACATTAATCTAGATATCAATAATTAATCTAAATATAATATGCTCATAAAGTAATTTGATTCTTTAATTAATAAATATAATCAGATGTTAGAGTAATAGATTAAATTTCAATATTAATTTAATATTTCTACTTAAGACACTCTATTATTAAATAATAATAATCAGAATTTTTACAACAGTAATAATAATGCAAATAATACTATTTTAAGTAGTAAAAGAAACAGTTATAATAATTTTTATCAAAATAATGTTAAATAAGATATACTTAAAACGAGTAAGTTTATTAAGATATAATAAATTAACATGTTTCTAACTTAAATTGTAGAATCATTTATTATCTATATTTTTAGAGTTAGAAATTTGAATCATTAAATTCTCTAATCAGACCCATCTTATAATGAATAAAAAACTACTCTAAAGAAAGTCATAATTATGATCATTGCAATAATTAGAATGCAAAAGAAAAAAAAATATCATGATTATAAACCAATGATTATAGAATTGCCTATTGAAGAGACTATGTATTAATTGCTAGAAATAATAAGCACTTAATAATAACTAATAGAGAAGTTTTAAGAGTGATTAATATTTCATCGTAATTATTCACTAATTTTTAATAGTAACATATCAATATTTTTATGCAATCTCTAAACTATTAGATTCATTTAGCAGTTCAATTATATAGTATATTTTTCTTATGGGGATTATGCTTATACCAATTCAGATAGAATTTTAAATTTATGCTCAATCTTTTTAATTTCACTTAAATATTTCCTTTTTGTTCCTGCCAATTAATAATTGAGAGATTTAGCCTTTTCTGAATCACAATTAATTAATTCTTCAAGAAATCTTTGAGTATTTTAATTTTCATATAAATCGAGTTCTTCAATAAAAGTTTCTAATTCTAATAAATTTATAAATAATAGCTTATTATTGTCTAGATTAATATTCTAAGATTTAATTTTATTAGTAATTTTTTACTTTACTTAACTGTTAATTACATAATCTAAATCACATCTTAATCCATTCATTTCCTAAGTTAAATAAAAAATATACTTTATATATATTTTTGTATTCTTATTGTACTTCTTATTTAACAGAGTTCATATTTTTTTTAAAAGTATTTTCAATTTATAGTATTTCAGGACGTCGAGGTTATGTTTTTGAATTTAATATCTAATTATCCATCTCTATCATTCTTGATTCGAGTTATTTAATTTGATGTGATAATTAAGAATTATTTTGTTTACTAGATTTATGTTTCCCACCATTTTCATAATCCTCTATTCTGTTTTATAAAAGATAGATTAATTCTTCAATTTTATGAACATCTTCAAATAGTTTAATCTATCTAATTAATCCATCCTATTCATTCATGATTTTATTGATATTATCTATGTTAAAATACTTATTACTCTCTAAACATGTTAATTTTGAATTAGCCTCCGTTTCTTAATTTAACTTTGCATCACTTACAAATTGCATTAAAGAAGAAAAAAAATTTAACGTATAATAATTATCAATTTAGTAAGTTTAGAAGAGATAGTCAAATAAAGGATTATTATAATCTAATAAATCAAATTATAAAAGAACATGATTGAGAGTTTAAAAAGCAAAGACTTTTGATAAACTNTAAATTGTAGAATCATTTATTATCTATATTTTTAGAGTTAGAAATTTGAATCATTAAATTCTCTAATCAGACCCATCTTATAATGAATAAAAAACTACTCTAAAGAAAGTCATAATTATGATCATTGCAATAATTAGAATGCAAAAGAAAAAAAAATATCATGATTATAAACCAATGATTATAGAATTGCCTATTGAAGAGACTATGTATTAATTGCTAGAAATAATAAGCACTTAATAATAACTAATAGAGAAGTTTTAAGAGTGATTAATATTTCATCGTAATTATTCACTAATTTTTAATAGTAACATATCAATATTTTTATGCAATCTCTAAACTATTAGATTCATTTAGCAGTTCAATTATATAGTATATTTTTCTTATGGGGATTATGCTTATACCAATTCAGATAGAATTTTAAATTTATGCTCAATCTTTTTAATTTCACTTAAATATTTCCTTTTTGTTCCTGCCAATTAATAATTGAGAGATTTAGCCTTTTCTGAATCACAATTAATTAATTCTTCAAGAAATCTTTGAGTATTTTAATTTTCATATAAATCGAGTTCTTCAATAAAAGTTTCTAATTCTAATAAATTTATAAATAATAGCTTATTATTGTCTAGATTAATATTCTAAGATTTAATTTTATTAGTAATTTTTTACTTTACTTAACTGTTAATTACATAATCTAAATCACATCTTAATCCATTCATTTCCTAAGTTAAATAAAAAATATACTTTATATATATTTTTGTATTCTTATTGTACTTCTTATTTAACAGAGTTCATATTTTTTTTAAAAGTATTTTCAATTTATAGTATTTCAGGACGTCGAGGTTATGTTTTTGAATTTAATATCTAATTATCCATCTCTATCATTCTTGATTCGAGTTATTTAATTTGATGTGATAATTAAGAATTATTTTGTTTACTAGATTTATGTTTCCCACCATTTTCATAATCCTCTATTCTGTTTTATAAAAGATAGATTAATTCTTCAATTTTATGAACATCTTCAAATAGTTTAATCTATCTAATTAATCCATCCTATTCATTCATGATTTTATTGATATTATCTATGTTAAAATACTTATTACTCTCTAAACATGTTAATTTTGAATTAGCCTCCGTTTCTTAATTTAACTTTGCATCACTTACAAATTGCATTAAAGAAGAAAAAAAATTTAACGTATAATAATTATCAATTTAGTAAGTTTAGAAGAGATAGTCAAATAAAGGATTATTATAATCTAATAAATCAAATTATAAAAGAACATGATTGAGAGTTTAAAAAGCAAAGACTTTTGATAAACTATTCAACACATCAGATAATTAACATAAATGTCACAATTCGGAATTAGATACCAAGAATTTAAGTTTACTATAAAATGAGAAGGATAGTAGATTGGAAAATAAATAGGACACATTTTATTATTTTTTAATGTATTTGTAAATCAATTTACAACATTACTTAGAGTTTAGATCAATTGATTCTCATTAACTTTTAAGATAAAAGTCACTTAATCTAATATATTAATAATTATGCTTAATACTTGCTTATGGATCTTTGTCTAGCCATTTTACTGAAATCATTCCTCTTCCCTCTCCTTCTAGAATAACATTACAAGGTCTTTCAACATATTCAGTGATGATATCTGGCATAGTGGCTACAAGAATGCATAATGGATCTTGGATATCATATCTATTATTTGCATTTTTCATTCCTTCATAAATTTCTTTAATGAATTTGCCTTTGATTGTTGTATCTTATTCAAATACTTTAGTAATCTGATTTTAAATGCTATGATTACTGTGAATTCGGATACTGAAATAACTCCTTCATACGGTATTACAATAAGCTTCTTAGCTAAAACTTTAAAGACTAGATGAGCAGCTTCTGGATCTGTATGTACATTATATTCAGCTACTCCATCATTCATGAATCCCAATCCTAAAATGTTACCACATAAACCAATAACTAGTCCTATATTTTCTTCAAAATCTGCAGTCTTCATCATTGCACAAGCTACATTTGTCAGAGCACCTAAACATATTATTACTAATTCTTCTTTATATTTGATGGCACTTTCAATCAAAAAATCAACAGCATGTTAAGGTTTGAGTGGATATTATGATATATTGAGTTCTTTTAGATATTTTTCTTAATGTCCACTTAATCCATCATCACCAAAAAATTTAGAACTTAAAGTTATTTTTTATTTCAAGTTTCTATCACAACCTTTATAAATTGGAACATTAATTCCTGCAATCTTTTAGACTATTGTAATATTCTTGATTCCATCATCTATTTATGAATTTCCACTATTTTATATAATATTTATAATTACTTAATGCATGTGATACCAATAATTTCTATGTTTTTCTTGGTTGCTAAATCAAATGCTGTCAATAAAGCATGTATGTCATCACCTCCAGAATCTGTATCTATAATCATCTTTGTTCTTTGCTTCAAGAGTTTTTCAGGAATACCAAATTGATGTTTAATGAATGAAGGAAGTGAAATCATTTATAAATATTATTTTTAATACTAATTTAATTTGCCTTTGGAGTGAAGATTTTTGTTATCAAATTTTAATTTTTTCTGTTCATTCTATCTACACTTGATTTAGGTCTTAATAGTGTTTTTTTCATAACAACTACATCATTTATTCTATCTTTTTCTTATATAATTGGTTTAATAAAATCCATAACAAAATTAATTTTATCTTCAATCACTAATTTTGGTTAATGGAAAGATTATTTTAAAGAAGCACTTTTTGCTTTCATCTAATTATCATTACAATTAAATAGAATTCTTCTTACTTTTTTACCTCTATATTAAGTATTTGCGTTGCTAAAATTTTAACATGAACGTATATGTTATAAATCAAGATCTTATCCAGATATTATCCATGTATATTGTTTTAAATAATCCCAAACCAAAATGTGAATATATTCAAAATAGCAACCAGCACATAATTTCTTAGTTTCACATCTCCAAATATTTAGTAAAAAGTTTTTAAAATTTTATTATACTTCCATATTTGATTACATTCCTTATATCAAACATATGTATATACATTATTAACTCTATTTTGGAGTGATATAAAGTAATTTAGTTTATTTTAACAACTAATTTTATTTGAAACATAATTATCCTTTTGATGTAATGTACCCGCTCTCTATTTCTGCAATCATAGTATGAATGTCCATAAAAGTTAAGTTTATTTCACATTCTGCTTGTTGTAATAGTTTTATTTCTTTTGGAGATTAAGTAAAATAGAAATCTCTTTAACCTAAAATAGACCATAAGTCAACACTCCCAAAGATTGGTAAAAATTCATCTTCAGTAGTACAAGTACCATGTTCTGTTTTTAGAATTGTTCCTTCTGTTTTACATCTTATTTAAGAACGGGATTTTAAATTGATTCTACTTATATCTAATGCTGTAGTAAACTAAGTGAGAATTCGTCTACTGTGAATAGCAGACGGTAATCGAGAGTCTAACTATTTCATTAAAATTAAATTAAATAAAATTAAAATTTCATGTTTAGAAATACATCATTATATAATTATTTTGAATAATAAAATAATCTTACAATATTAATACTATAAAATCAAGAGAGATTATACTACATTATTATTATTAATATATTAAATTTGAAATCTATTTGTCCAATTTTATTCTATCTCTTTTTAATAATAATTGATCTTTATTACCAAATAGAAATTACTCTTATAATTCATGTATGTATAATTCACTAATGTAACTAAGTATACCAGGTATTTAATTTAGAGAATATAAATCATAAAATCTTAAATAAAAAATATCATAAGTAATATTGAAATTATTAGAATTTGGTTATATATTGTCGTTGTGAATAATATGATAAATAATTTTAAAATATAGGTATGCTTTTTTCAGAAGAAATTTATCATAGAGTCTCTTTTATTTATTCAATCAAAATAATAATATTTTCTCAATTAGAAATTTAATTTATCTAACAAAGAATAGAAACTATAAATTATTAATGAAGTGATTTAAGTAAAAATATTGTGAATTTTATTTTTATTTTTTCTATATTATATAATAATTAATTAATTAATTTAAACAAATGGAGAAATTTAGAGCATATGCTGATTCTTAAACAGGAATCAATCTATTTGTACCTGCTTTTGTTAATTAAAAATTATCCCCACTTATTCTGCTACTTCATATTGTAATTATTTCATCATAATATCAATTAGACCATAGGATCCATATTGATTTTGATTAGAATTCCTTTATTAGCAATTTTGATTCTATTACTAAAAATTTTGAATACTTTTAAAATAGAGACTGTAAACTCATTGATAGGTAAATTGATGTTGTTTACTTGTGGATTTTTTAATATTGAAAATTAAATTCCAATTCAAGATAAAGGTGGATAACTTATATTATCAAATCATTCAAGTCCAATTGATTGGATTTATTTCTTAGCTTAATCATCACCAAATTTTGCAACTTTTGTAGAAAGTGGCGATGAAATAAGATATCAAATATTGTCTTTTAATTAAGTGATAAAGAATATGTTTTCAATTACTGTTGCTTAGTCAGGAACTGGATTATAATTAAATGAGGTTATATTTTAAAATAAACCAACATTACTATTTTTTGAAGTATTTCAATAGATATAATATTTTAATAGGGTTGCTAAACAAATCAATTAGGAGTATTATCACCTCCAAGATAGATAATTTCTGAATTACAAAAATTTGGATAACCTATTGTAAATATTAGTACAATATTATATAGAACATTTACATATTAACATATCCTGATAGATCTATTTTTACTCCTATCAATACAACAAGGAATGGGTTTTGGCATTTTATACTTTTGTTAACAAATATTTGGAATGATTTAAGAGTTGTCAGTCAAGAGTTTGAAACTTCCAAAGATTATTAGAAGCTTATAACTAATTTTTATGAATGTGAAGGATTGAAAATAGTATTTTTATAGTTTATACATTAGATCCATTAAAAATATACCGTATAAACAGATTTTTTACAATATTATTGGAGAACTTCAAGTGGAAATTATATTAAATTAGATTGAATATGTTATGTATGTTTTACCAAAATTTAATATTTTGAAATATCATCATATAGATTAATAGAATTTTTGAATAGTAAATACAAAAATTAAAATTAATAATCTAATTCATTTTGTGAGTTATTAAAAAGTGTTCTTGTTATCATTATCTAAATTATAAATTATTCCATTAATAATATATAATCTAAAATTAGTATGATCCTCTAAATATATTATAAAGGATAATTATTTAATGTATAATTAATGTATATTTATATATCAATCCTTCATACTCATATTAATAAATAAATTAAAAAGCTCTATGTTTTAATTTCTAGTTTTATTTCTTTGTTACTGCTAAATGTTGGGAATTATTAATGTCGATGTTGATTTTATGGAAGATGGAGAACTTTTTGAATTAGAAGAGAGTGAATATCTCATAACCCAAAATATTAATAATGCAACCTTCTATCTTATCGTAAGTACTTACGACATTCCCAGATATATATTTTTGGAGTAAGATAATATTGATATTATAGAATATAATTTTCATATCCTAAAGATAGAGATGTGAATTTCCTAACAACAGTAGGGAAAAATTAAATAACTAAATTAGAAAACACTAAGATTATAACTACATATGCTGATTTTAATGGTTTTTATCTCAAAAAAGACTATCATAATATTGTTATCCCTCCTAATTCATTTAAATCAGGAGATAAGTTTTTCCTAACCAATCTCATAAGAAATGATAGACGTTCATATTAATACAATCTTAAAATAAAAAAATTACCATATCAACCTTGTCCTAATAATTGTTCTTCAGGTTCTGGGAAATGTGTGAATGGGATATGTGCATGTAATTAGAATATGATAGATTTGGATTGTTCTAAATAGGCTATAGCTTTAAAATTTGAAGAGAAGATAGAAAATGTTACTATTTAAGGAACTTAATACTTATATTTTGAATAACCAACATAATTAGAAAAAATATAATTTGAATTTGGTTTGTAGTTTAATTAATAAGAAGAGGATAATTAAGTTATGCTATATTATATGTTTGAAGATTATAAATTAGGTGTTCCTACTTAACTTTATAGGAATTTCACTTTAAAAAATGATTTGATGTCTACTACTCCAATAATAATTGATATCTCATCATTAAATTATAATGCAAATCTAATGAGGTATTTTTATAATTGATTTAGATTTGATCGTTTGATATTTTAATTAGTTACTGAGAAGGAAGTAACATGTAATTTTGAGATAGTTTCTCTTTCATCTGATGATTCTGATAATCAAGTAATTTCAATAATAATTTATATTACTATTTCAATAGCTAGTTTTATTTTTATTATGATCATTACTATGATCATAGTTAAATGCAAAAATAATAGATAACACAACTCACAAGTAAGACCATCATAAGAAATTAAACTTTCATTAGAATTTTTAGAATAATATATGAAATTAGTTGAATTAAAAAAAGGTCTTAATAATTTATAATGTTCAATTTGTTTATCCGGAAACTAAGATTAAGAATTGAGATTAACACTTTGTAAACATGCATTTCATTGTTATTGTTTATACAATTGGTTAAATAAATCTGATGGAAGATTTTTATGTCCAAATTGCAGATAAGATATAGATTTAGAAAAATTGAAACGTTCTGGTAAATAAAATCCTAATATAGAAAAATACTAATAAAATTACTCATAAAGTGAGATTAATTTAAATAATAGTTAAGATTATTGAATAATAAAAATAGAATAAAGAAATGAACTTAATCAATAATAAAATATTATAAAAAAGTTTAACTTTTTAATGACATTATTTAATATTTAAATTATATTCTAAATTTATAATATATTAATATGAATCCTCAATAAGTAAAGAATAAAGATAAATAACATTTCAAAATTTCAGAATTTATTCTAGAAAAACTATTAAATGATTTTGGTTAGAAACCTATTGATAGAAAAGTATTATATTAATATTTAAAAAAGTTAATCACTAGCTATGTCAATGATTATAAATCTAAATATTCATCTTATAACGAATAAGGAGTTAGATAACTGAAAATTGAACTCAAATCTGCACTACAGAAATCTGACACTGAAAAAGAGTAGATAATCATCAACCTTATTAACAACTCTAATTCCAAATTGTTACAAAAGGATTAACAATAAAATGCAAAAAAAGAGAATAATAATAGAAAATAATTAAATACTCTACCTTAAGAGAAGCTTAATCAAAATAATAATATGATTGACAATGAAATATATAGATAAGAATCTTTACCTTCAGAAAATAGAAAATCAATTTATGAGATTGAGGATGAAAATCAAGATGAATGGACTGCAATAATCAAATATGACACAGCAAAGTATTAAAAGGAGTAATTAGAAACAAAGAAGAAATAATAAATAATGAAATAAAAATTAAAAGAAGATTTGGATAAACAATTAAAAGAAAAAGAATAATAAAAAAGAGAAGAAGAATTAAAGGAAGCATAGTTTGTATAATAAAATTAATAAAGAAAAATTGAATTTGAATAATTAGAGAAATAAAAAAAAGATTAATAAAAACATAAATAATATGAAGAGAAAAAATTAAGAGATGAGTAAGTTTAACTTGAAAAAATGAGAAAGTATATTTAAAAATTATATTATCGTTTAGAAAGGAAATATAAATGTAGTCTAAATTATAAGAGGATGAAATTTTATAATAATTAAAAAATGAGATAAATAAAGAATCTCTTGAACTTAATAAAAAAAGATAAGAATAAAAAGAAAAGTTCTAATAATTACTTAAAGAGAATGAGTTACTAAGATAAAAGGTAATATCTTATTTGAATTAAAAAAGGCTTAAGATGATTTAAAACAATAAAGAGAACTAGAATAGAAAATACAATAATAAGAATTGTAAAGATAAATTTAAGAGGATGAAAAAAGAGAAAATTAGAAAAAGGAAAGAGAAGATAAAATTAAATAATTCATGAGTAATTATAGTTTTCAGGTACTTAGTAAACAATAAGAATAAGAAGAAAATGAAGGAAAATATTTAATTGAATAATTAAAGAAATAAGAATAATTAGAAAAATAATAAGAAATAGAAAAGAAATAAAAAGAGAAATAAAAAATGGAATTGATCAAATAATAATTATAATTCCAAATCTAATAAAAATAACAAAAAAAATTATCAGAAGAGGAAGAATAAAAGATGTTATTTATTCAATAATAACTTGATTTACTAATTTTCTCATAAAAATAACAAGAAAAATAGGAAGTAATTTATAATAAAATATAATTAATAGTAAATCAAGAAAAGTCATAAATAAAATTAAGATGATATAAAAAAATAAATTGAAGGATAGAGGAATAAAAGTTTACATGAAAAAATGTCAAAACTAGAGTTACTGTAAAATAAAAATCTGTTAAAGAATATAGCAAATGATTAAGAGATAAAAACAAAATTTAGAAAAGTTAATGTTTCGTTAAAATGATTCAAATTTTTAAGTTATTATTTTCATAATATGCTTGTTAAAAGAGGAGATTAATAAAATGCTAAAATATTTTAAATCATTAAAATTTAACTGTTATAATTTTTGGTATAAAATTATTTAATTAAAATAAATTATTACATTAAATTGAAGCTAATCTACATTTATCTATATTAATATTCATTCATTATTTTAATATATCTCTAATTAATCAATTATCAATAATATTTATTATATTTATCTAATAAAATTTTCAATAAAGCTATAATCATCTTACAAGTCGAAATCAAAAATAGATAAAGATAATATATGATATTAATAATAAAAAATTAAATTCAATCATCATTTCTTTCTTAACAGTGTATGAAAATAGGTTAATTTTAATCATCAGAAACTACATTTAATCCTTAAGAATGTACTAATGCGACAGAAAAAAATGACATATCGCAAAATTTAAATTTTAGAGATGCTCAAAATTTATATACTTGTGATTAACAATCTGATAAGTCTGTCGAATTACTCATACTTAGTAATCAACATCCAGAAAATGAATGGATAAAAAGAGAGTCAGAGATAGTAGTATATTTAAAATAATTGGGTATACAAATGAAAACAGACCCTTTAGAAAAACAAGAAAAGTTTTATAAGAAACCTAAAAGAAGAGTGAATAAATCCAGTACAATGTAATTCCATTCTCCAACAAATAATGAAGATAATGATAATATGGAAACAAACCGGCAGGCTATACAATAGATGAGTATAGAAATGAATTCAATTAAATAACGACGAACACCTAATACAACTCCTTAAAGTTCTCCTTTAATTACTTAAGACTTATAGAAATAAGAACCTTAAAAAAAACAAAGAATGTCAATATTTTAGAAGATGAAAGGTTAATCATAAGCATTCTCTTCTGATGAAGGTGAGATTCAAGAAAATATTAAAAGAAATAAGTATCAATTTAACGAAAAGTATGATGGAAAAAGTGATTCAAGTGAAAATAATTTAGAGAAAAACTATTTCTAAAATATATGTGAATGATACATTTATAGTAACTATATCATTTAATTCCTGCTTATTAAAGTTTTTACATTAATTATTATATTTTACTATCCTTTAACTTTACAAGTTATTCTAATTTTTATATTTTAAGTTCTAGAATCTCTATAGTTTCCTTCTAATCTTATATTATCAAATCTTTCTCATTTGATTTGTTATTGGGGGCCTATTTGTTGCTAACTTTATTTTAATTTTGCTAAACTTCAACAGACTTCTCTTATTAATGAATCTAATTTTGTTCCTTGTTATCCAAATACATTGATATTTTGACTTAAACTACTTTAAGAATTCTTTCGACTGCTTCTGGTACAACTGAAATTACAGCATCTATATCTTTTTAAGTAATTTAGAAACCCATCTTTCTAAAGACCTATAATTTGGATTAGTATTCTTACTTTTGTATTCAAAGTATTCCAATTATATTATTTCTATTGAACAGAATGAGCTAAGCTATAATTATGTATATCAACTATTCTAGGTATATAATGTTAAACTATTTCAGCCATTAAAACTCCATCTGCAAAATCTCTTCCTATATGTCTTTTTGGTCTTGATAAAGGTATAGTATCAACCCAATTATAAATTTCATTTAATTCATCTTCATTCAAGGGAGGAGCATCCATATCCCTGTTTGTCATTGTTAATTAGATATAATTTTAAATTTATTCTGCAACTAACTAACTTTTTGATAAATAGAGAACACAAAACCATATAATCAATTATTTAATGAATTCTAAGATTTGTTCAGCTTCTATAGATTTGTTTTAAGGCATTATCTAAACATTAATAATATATCTTTACGAATTCACTTCTTCTAATCTAATCAATTGTTTTATTCTTTTAGCAAATCCAGCATCATTTTTTTCTTTTAACTTTTTAGTTAATTAATTGGATTGATCATATAAAACATCAAGATTAACTTCATATATTGATTAAAGTGATTAATCATCTGAAATCTCATCTGTTTATTTTTGGGTTTGTATTCTTTTTTAAGCTTCTAAAGATCCATATTAACGATATTTCAATTTTCTAATTTTTAATTGATTTAAATATGTTTCTAATTATTAATTTAAGTTCTATTCATGCTCACTTTCAACCATTGTATGAAATTTCTGAGTCATCTCTTTAACCCTAAGATAAAATAATATATCATACTATTTATTCAATGTATAAATATTTCTATTGTTAATATAATCATATAATTTAACATCAAAATTAGTTATAAGACCTCTAGAATTTTTCAAATTTTTATTAGCCTCTACTTATTTTGTAAATAGGTAAAAAGGTTTTTTTGTAATAATATATTATTTTCTTTTTCTTGGATCAGAAATAGAATCCTACAATTAGCAAACTGATTAATATTAATTACGATGATGTTTAGGACTAGCCACAATAACATCCAAAGGATAATCAGCTGATAATTTTTAAATACTTTAGTATTAATAATCTAATTATTTTGCTATGAGTGGTGATTATGATATAGAATTTTAATTGCTTTTAATTTTTGATTTTCTTAATTCAGATTAAAATTTAATATTTTGTTATTCCAATAGTTTTCTTACTTAATTTAGAGCTAATTTAAATTAAATTTATTTTTATTATTCTAATTCCAATAAATAATCTTTAGAATATTAATTCATTTAATTTTTTAACATACCCAAAGAAGGATTATCAAATTTATCAAAATGTTTTTCTTAATGTTTAATTATTGGTTACACATTATCATAATTTACTAATAATTATTTTAATTTCCGTTGAGATGGTACTAATTTTTTATAATATTATGCATCATCTTTAAGTTCTTCTTATTGTTATTATATATGTTAATTATAATCGTTAGTGATGTCAAAAAATGTCTTAATAAAATGAATATTTCTAATATCTTCTTCTCTTTGTTCTTTATTTAAGGATTTTCTCAAATCAATCTATAAAATTATATTTTACTAATACTCTTTATTAAACAAAATCTCTCAAAACCTAAATCTTTTTATTTATTTTAGTTTTAAAAATTTCTAATAATTTTCCAGCTTCAGTAAATCTTCTTTGATCAACCAGACGTATTTGATGTGCCTTAAGTTGTCTTGTTGAGCTGTTTATATCTAATAAAGGAGTTTAGTCATTAGTTTGAGTGAATCCATGATTTTTAAATTTTTTTATTTTTTAGACTATTGACAATTTTCTCTATAGAGTTTTAGAATCCTCAATTTACTTCTAGTTTAGAATATAATAGATTGATATACAAAATTAACATGAGGAAAATTAATTACTTCCATTAATTACTGAATTGATTATTCTCCTTCAAGATACTTATAGAACTCTAACTTGAATTACTAATTAGTACAAGGGATTAGAATAGGAATTTCATTTACTAATGGATCTTAGAGATGCTAAAATCATATTAAAAATAGGTACTTCTTTGGCCTCAGGAGAAAAGTGTTTCTTTTTTTGTTTTAAGTTTATATCGTGTAGGAAATTGCCAAACATTTACTTCCAAGCATCTTTCTAATTTTATTGACTATGTTTTTTAATGTTCAAGTAAGTCACTTTCTTACCATTGAGAATTCGTTGGTTATTTTATATTATGTTTTACTTAAATTTGCTAGGAGGATGATCTTTAAGTGAATCTGATTCAGTTTTCAGATAAGCCGATACTGATTCTTTCATATTTAATTAAAAAAAATTATAATCCTAATGAATGAGGTATATAAATAGTGTAAACATTGTATAGAATCTAAATCTACAAAAACTTTTGAATAATCCAACTATTGATAACCTCTAGATTATATATTCCAAATTATAGCAGTTATAATATTTTAATTCCTTTATTGAAAAGAATCTTTAAGGAACATAAAGGGAGAGTCTATTATATGTATATAAAATACCTATATTAGTTATGTGGCAAATTTAGAATGGAACATTTCAAAGGTGGAGAATTAATATTCAAAGAGGGAGACAAGTCAAACGATAAATTATATATAATATTTAATGGTAAAGTTGTATTGATGAAGGCTAGACCCTAAACTTTTTCAAATAATTTGCAAATTCTAAAAATTTTGCTGATAAAATGAAAGGAAATATAGGACAAGGTTAAACTAATGAAAGAATGTAAATAAGTCAATAAGAAATTTAAATTTTAAGCGAGAAATGTGGAGAAAATTCGAATATTGAAGAGAGATGAAGGATTTGGTGATAGAGCTTTATTGGAAAATGTTCCAACAGCATTAACAGCTTGTTCCCTATACTTAAGATTGATTCTTATTGATTTTGAAAAAAGATGATTTCGATTTAATTCGACAACAATTCATATAGTAAACAAAAGAAAAGAAAAGTTCAATATTCACTAAATTCCCTGTTTAAGGCGATTATTCATCTAAATAATTAGAACATTTAGCCTATATTTTCAATATGTTGAATAATTTTAGAAAAACTTTATTTTAACTGTTGACAGACTTCCCAAAAGATCCTTTTATTTAATATAATATGGAGATATTCTAATAGAAAAATTTGATAAATATATTAAATAAGTAATAATTATTTTTGATTCAAATAGCTAAGGGATAATTGTTTGGAGAAGAAATAGTTCTAAATGAAGATGGTTGTTGTGAATATAACTTAATTGTTCTATCTAATGAAGCTAATGTTACGGTCATTCAAAAAACATGAATTCTTAAAAAGTTTCCAGAAAAATGTACTTAAAAAAAAGTTTATTCAGAAAAATATTTTATCTATAAACATGGAAAGTTTATTTGGAATTGGAAAACCAAAATTCATCGCAGTAAAACAATTTATATATATAAAAAATAATCCAATCAAAATTAATAGTAAGTATTATGAAGATAAAGTTAAAATTTGATCTTTGATTGAACAATAAACATCAGTTTATCTTTGAAAATATCAGAGTGAACCATAAAAGGATTCAACTGCCACATTATTTGGATAAGATTTATATTAACACCAAAATTAGGTTACATACCAAAATATGATAAATTCCATTTAAGCATTTAAATAATAGCATCTTAAGAAATTATGTTCTAAAAAAGAAGATTAGAATTTCTAAGACTTCCTCCTTTAACTGCAATAATATTATTAAATTTGTAAACCAATCAATGTGAGTAATTAAACAAAATTTTAGCATACAAATACACACACTTAATCTACTGCTGCTAATTTCTTAACTCCGTATCACTCTTCATCACCCAAATAGGCAAATAAATTAGATATTAATTGAATGATAAACTATTTTATGTATGCTAAACAGAATTTACACTGTTATTTTTGTAACCTTACCCATAATCACTAATTATATTTGTAAACCACATTCTCTACTTTCTATTTATATAATAAAGTTGAAACATTCTGTGAATAAGCAAATTTAATTTTCATTAATTCTTAAGCCAACAATAAATTAGACTATTAATATTTGTTTAATCTTGCCATACTTGTTTTTATTTTAATCTGATAATTATTTCATAAACTCAGTCAAAATTGAACTTGTGGTACAAGTATTATGTACTAAAAACATGCAATCACATTATGAGTTTTATTCTAATCTTACTTTTATTCCAATATGGTCAAAATATCTAGCAATGTAATAAAGGAGATCTAGCAATGTAATAAAGGAGATCCTTTATTATTCAAACACTTAAATATACCTTTCTTACATTTTAATAAAGTAATCTTTAACATTTTTAAATAAATTTCTAATTTATTTTTCATCCTAATTTCAAAATAGTCTTCATTTTATCATTTATCTAGTCAACCAAATATTAAACTATTTTTTTATCAATTTTTTTTGTTTGGAAAAATTTTAAAATGACTTAAAACTTATTTATCTATATCGATTATCTTCAAAAAATATTATATTAAATTGATTTACTTTTATTTCCAAAGATTAATTGGTAAAGAAGGTTGATATTTTTTTTTCGCTATTTTTTTTATTTTGTCTATAAGGTTTTATTGCTAATTAAATTCTTCATTTTTATTTTATAAAAACTATTTTTATACAATTATAATATTTCCTTTTCTTATTTTCGATTTCGTTTTGAATTTGAATTAAGAAATTATTCGCTTTAGCTTTAATATAATTTTCATGTGATTCATATTATTAAGAAAATTTTTTTAAAATAACATATTACTTAAGTGATTTAATGCATTTATTTGTCAAAAGCTAATTTCAAATATCAGAGACACTCGTACTATCCCCATTATTTCATACTTTTTCTATTCTAATTTTTCCCTCAGCCTTAATAAATTCTTGCTTGTTATAGAAAAAAAAGATTCTTATCAATTTTTGAATCAATTTTTTAGTTTTAAATTTTTAGATATATAAATTATTTATCTTATGTCACTTATTATAAATTTATTAATATTTTTTTGTGCTTTTTGAAGAAATGCCAATTATTTCTTCGTTGCATTTAAAGATTTATTTAATATAATTTGATTGGATTGTTTATCTAATTGAATTCTCTTTTATTTGAGAGTTAATACTTATTCCTTTGCTTTTTATTATGATTACTCATAAGGGTGAGAATTTATTTCAGGAATTCTCTAAATCCTTATATGTTAGATTTATTTACATTTGTTAACCATTATAAATTGATCATTTATTTAGAATGATCCCTTTTCAACTTGCAAATATGTCTTAAATAAACCATGAACTTCTTAGGACATTTAATTTTATTATTAGAAGAGCTTAAATATATCAAACCAATAATACTTTTTATTAATTATAAATAAGGTCTTTAAAATAATAAAAAAAATAAATTTATATTGTTTATTTATTATTATTTATAAATTGGAATATAATTAGTGGAAATTAAGATACATAAACTTTATTCAATGAATTGAATGAGAATAATATATAATTGACAAAATATGGGATATTGGAGAAAAAAATCATAATTTAAAATAATTATTTTAGTGAGTCAATTAAAAATTCTTATGGTCAAAATAAAATTAAAAGATTCAATTTTCACTCTTTTATTTACTTAATCACATCCATGTATGTTATTATTAAATAAAGTATAAATAAATGAATTAGATACTTATTTTAGTGATATTAGAATAGGTTTATAATTTTCATATTTAATATATATATTTTTTATACTAGAATTCTTTGGAATAATAGTTTAGACAGTATTAGTTTTATAATTTAAGTTAAATATAATAATTATATTTAAATAATTAAAGTGATAATTATTAGGAATTTCTGAATACTATAATTATTAAATTTACTATTCATTAGGTTCGATTCTAATATTTAAGATTTGATAAATTTATGGTTGGAATAATTTGATTAAGGTTTATTACGTATCTAAATATATTTGAAAATAATTATTAATAATCCACATGAATTTCGATACATAAACTACAGAATCCCATTAATAAAAAACCTATAAAATCATAGCATTCACCTAATTTCAAGAGGAGGTGTCTGAGTTTCACAATTATAAAAAATAGTTAGCATTAAAAATATTAAGAAAAAGTAAACCACAAAAGAAACAATCTTGATTATGAAAAAAGAATTTTGATCATTATACTTATTTAATAAGAGTATTTTCAATTATTTTTGATATTTTCCTTTATGTCTTACAAAATAACACAAAAATACTATAAAAAATTATTTTTAGTGACAAAAGATTTAAAAAAGCTTTATTATAGGAAAATGATCCTTATAATAAGGATTTATTGACTCTCTCTTATTTATGTAAATTATCATCTCATGTATAATTATAGATTGGATCATATAAATGTATTGATATTTGAGAGGATCACTATCTTAATAAATTTGCATAATAAGAGAAGATTATATTTCAAAAGATATGAACTGAGTACAAGTATGGATGTGACAAACAATTAATGTAATCCTTACTACTTTTAATGATACTTATAATAGATGTAAAATTCATTTATAATCGAAATGCGGCTTAAAAATTTAATAATATAATTTTTAGAATATAAATAATTTATTAATAATTTATTATTTTATTTGAATGGATAAGGAGATGAGTATCAGTTATTATTATTTTATAGCTACTTGACTAAAATTGATAGATAGTCTCTTGCATTAATAGAGTTTTACAATAAAAAAATTGTTATTAAGATTAAATCAAGCTCCGATTATCTAATATATTCAAGATATTGTAATATAATATATTGAATATGATTCATAACCAATGAACCCTGATATTATTTAATATTATAAAAATGATTATTTTTATTTAATTAATATTCATTTAGTCTCCTAAGCCCAATCAAATACATTATCCCATGTGTACTCCTATTTAATAAATAGATCTTTAAATAATCTTTTGATCCAAACATAATCAGGTATCTCTTCAAATTTTAAACTCTTAATATAATTAAAATATTTAACAAACTCCTCTATTATTAATATATTTCAATACCAGGAAATCCTTCACATAATTTATCTATAGGAGTAGCAATCTTACATTCAGCCACTTTTTCATACTTTACTTTTTTTGTTTCTGTCTTAATTCCTGACCAGGGTAAAGATCCTCTTAAAAAGTATATTAGCATATAGCCTATGGATTCTAAATCATCCCTTCTGCTTTATTCAATTCCTAAATGTGCATTGATACTAGAAAATCTACATGTTCCAACCAATTAATTATTTTCACCATATTAAATATGTGTTTCTATACTTTTAATAAATGTTTACCTGTCCTTTGATATCTATATCTTTTAGCTAAACCGAAATCAATCATATATATGTTATCAGCTTTTTTATTTAGACCAATTAAGAAATTCTCAGGTTTAATATCTCTATGAATAAAGTCTTTGTTATGTAAATATGAAATTCTTGTAAGTAACTATAGTTTAAAATATTAATATTTACTTGATCTGCTAACATTAAAACAGATTTAAGTGAGAATTTTCTTCCATTATAATTGAATAAATCTTCTAAACTTGGTCCAAGTATATCCATTACTAATACATTAAAATCTCCTTCTTATCCAAACCAATGTAAATTTGGTATTCCAGGTACAGGTCCATCTAGTAATAAGATTCTATAAATTTTAGCTTCATGTAACAATTAAGAATGGTTATTACTCACGTTTTCCTATAAATAATTAGAATTTCAGTTACTAATTTGATAGCAATTTCTTCTCCAGTTTTGATATTATTTCCTATTATATTACTCTATTATACCTAAATATATTTAACCAAATGCTCCTAATCCTATTTTTTTATCTAATGTAAAACTATACTTTTATGCAAAAGTCAACTCCATTAAATATATAAATAAATATTCTAAAATTAACAAAGCTCTTAAAAGTTTTCATAATTTTATACGAAAAATAATTTTATAGCTGAAAAGATTTCGATAAAATCTTAAGTTTATAAATCATCTTAACATCATGAACAAATAGAAATAAAAAATATTAATTTAAGAATGTATTTTAAAGGGAAATAACAATAAGAAAAAGAATTAAAATTTGTTTGTCTTAGTGATACTCATACTAAACATCCAGATATTTTAGAAAAAGGTGATGTATTAATACATTGTGGAGACTTTACTAATGGAGGTGATTATAGAGATGTTAAATGTTTTAATTAATGGCTTGATAAATAGACAGGATTTAAATATAAAATTATTATTGCTGGTAATCACGATTTATGTTTTGATTCTTTAAGATTTCCATAACATTATTAAGATATAAAGGCCTAAAGAGAAGTGAATTATTTAAAGAATAATTTTATATATTTAGAAAATTCAGAAGTTGATATTGAAGGATATAAAATATGGGGTAGTCCACATTCCTTAGAATATTGGAATGGATCATTTTAGATAACACCTGATTAAGCTAAAAATATTTGGGATCGTATAAATGATAATACTGATATTGTATTAACACATGGACCTCCATTTGGTCATGGAGACATGGCTTAAAGTGAAGTTAATAGAAATGTTGGTGATGAATATTTATTCTAAAGAATTAAATAAATAAAACCAAAATACCACATTTTTGGTCATATTCATGAAGGATATGGATAATCTAAGGAGGATGGCATTACTTTTATTAATTGTGCTTATCTTAAAAAGAATTATTCAGTTGGAAATAAACCAATTACATTTACTCTTCCTAAAAAAGAATAAATATATAAATGAATAAATTTAAAAAAACTTTAATATTATATTATAGTAATCCAATTTTATGCTTATATCCCATTTAAAACAATTGATTTAATATATATGAATTTAATTTCCACTTGTTTAATTAATGACAAATAATCTTCATAGATCACTATTCTTATTGTTATTTCCCATTCCTAATTATTTTTTTAACTCTTAAATTTATTTCTAATATAATGTTTCTCTCTATTTATATTCCCTTAATTATTATTCAAGCTTCTCTATATTATTAAATATTTACTTAGCTATCATCATCTTCAGATCCAAGCTAAAAAAATTAAATAGTATAATACGCTATCATAATTAAGCTTTTGTTATTAATCAGCCCATTGATATCCTAAAAGGAAAAAAGTTAAACATGCCACTAATAACACAATTCCAATTTCAATTTATTAAATTTATATCATTATAAAATATAAATAATTAACTAAAATATATAAAGTCTTTTATAAATCTGTCCAATATTGTTTGTATTAAACATTATATGATCATTTAGTAAAATCTATTCAGAATAATAAAAAGAAAATTTCTTAAATTCAAAATCTTCGAAACATTTAATGTGAGTATATTAAACTTTTTAATCAAATTTGATACTTTAAATACTAATAATACTTAAACTGATTTTTCATATGTAAAATTAGTTCTGATACCACAAAATAATCTATTTTTTGTTTTCTCAAAAAAGTATAATTTTATTTTATTTTTTGACATTCTTTATTAATATTCGTAAGATATTCCTTAAATGAAAGATTCAAGTTCGAATTAATAGAATTGCTGGCTATCATTTATAAAATTTTTAATTTATCGAATAAATAATTTAGGATCTAGATAATCGTATATATTGGAAATGGATACTAGCAAAAATTTAGAAAAATTTACACTTTCAAAATTCTCCATATAAAAATTCATTTTCCTCTTAAATTTATATCAAAATCATCTGCTCTTCTTGATACATTTCTTATGCTAATAAAACGTTTCTTTTTTATAATGAGTCTTAACATTTTTGATTGATAAAAAATTATAAAAATTGTTAAATAAATTTCTGAAATACAAGCTAAATTAAGATTTGTTTATATAATTGAACTTTAATCATCCTAACTGATCTATTTCATTAAATTAAACGAATTAAATAGCTGAACAAAAAAAAGAAGAGAGGAAATTAAGAGTTGTTAATTTTTATTTATTTGGATTTATATATTTAGTATTTTAATTACTTAATCAAATTTGCATATAAAGGAGAATGAAATGAAACAATAAATAGGGAAATTATATGACATAAAATTGTTAAGAGAAAGTGTTAATTATAAAAAATAAATGAAAATTTATTTTAAATAGATTAAGATAAGTTAAATAATAGTTTTTTTAACAATTTGATGTCAATTATTAAAAAGCATTAATGAGATTAAAAATTTTAAGATAATAATTAATTCAATAGAAAATAGAAAATAGGTAATGACTATAGTTTAATCATTCTTTTGAGTTTAAACAAGTAAGTGATTAATATAAAAGATATTAGTTTTAGTTAAGAAATAAATTTTCAAATCAATAAAATTAGATTAAATAGTTTTTGTAAATAGTCTACTAATGAAGCAAATGAATAACAGTACTCTAATTAAGAATAAATTAGTAAGACATAGACATAATGGTAAAAAATGTTTCTATGTTTATAGAAATTAAATTAAGTATTATAATCCAATTTAGATAGTTAATTAAAAACCAATTAAGATATATTAAAAAAAAAATATAGTTATATAAGAGAGACTTTAGACTCATAATTCATAATTAATTAGAATCTGAATTAATTGGATTAGTATAGAAATAAAATTAAAAGAGAGATTATATATAATGATTATCGAACTTTAATGCAATCACGTATTGAAAAATTTCACATAAATTTTAATTTTTTTTTTAATCCATTCATTTTTCTTAAATAAAATCTTAGATTTTGCTTAAAAAAATGAATAATTAAATAATTTTTAATAGCTCTTAAATAGGATTTTCAAAAGAAATGTTCATTTGTTGTGGATCAAAATAAAAAAAGGATCAGAAAATAGTAAAGCACAAACTAAACCCACCTAAAAATTTATCTAATCTATATTCTAGCGTTCCAAAATTGAAAAGTATTAGTTAAAGCACTATTCTTATCAGAAGAATTTCTGGACTTCAAAAAAATATTTAAGTTAAATCAGAAACATGATTTTAAATATATATATATGTATAACCAAGTTAAATCTATCCAAGATTCTATCTGAAATAATTTAGAGATGTTCAGGAATCAAAAGGAGCATGTTTTATTATGGTTTATTTTTTTTTTCATACGTTGTATTTGTAAGATTTTAATGGCAAATAATGTCTTATAATATATATAATCGATAATAGTAGTGAAACATAAGAAAATACAAATTTGATAGTTAAAATGCTTATTATATGCTAACACTCATTTTATTTTTCCCCTTAATATTATTTTTTAGGGCTTTACTGTTATTACTAAACTACAAGTTCTGAAACTTATAACAGATACTGATAAATAATTTTTTCAGTTTTAAGATTGTATTTTATATAATAATTGAGTTAAGTTAGATAAATAAAATGGATATTCAAACTTAATAATTGAATGTATAAGTGGCAGTGAGAGTTAGACCTTTAAACAACAAGGAACTAAATGCTAAAGATGAATGTTGTTTGAAGACTGAAGAAAATAGAGTATGAATTACTATAAAATTAGATAATTTTGCCATAAAGTGGAAAAATCTTTACTTTTGACCATGTATTCAATTAGGATTCTAATTAAGACGAGATTTTTGGTTGGTAAGATGTAGTTTTTCTAAGTTTAGTTGTGTAACCAATTTAATTTTAAGATGCTTTGAGGGATATAATAGTACAATATTGGCATATGGCCAAACTGGTTCTGGGAAAACCTTTACAATGGGAACATCAGGTTTGGATCAATATTCTGGTTTAATATTGTGATTAATGCATAGACTAAAATGAATGGGGAATGATACCTAGAGCAGTATATTTTTTATTTGATGAAGTGGAGAAAAGAAAATAAGAATAGGACATAATTATTACATGTTCATACGTAGAATTATACAATGAATAAATTATTGATTTGTTAAATGAATCAATTATCAAATCAAATTTATAACCTACAATAAGAGAGGAAAAGGATCATACAATTTCAATTCAAAATTTGACAACAATAGCAGTAATCAATCCATAAGATATGCTTCAAATATTAAATAAAGGAGGAACACATAGAACAACAGCAGCAACTTAAATGAATTTAAATAGTTCAAGATCTCATGCAATATTTACAATTTATTTTGAAATAAACCGGGAATCTGAGGAAGGATCTTTGAATGCCAAATTTCATTTTGTTGATTTAGCAGGTAGTGAGAGATTAAAAAAGACAATGGCAATAGGTAAGCAGATGGAAGAGGGAATCAATATTAATTAAAGTCTTTTAGTTTTAGGAAATGTAATTAAAACATTAAGTGATTAAAAGAAATCAGCACATGTTCCATATAGAGAGAGCAAATTAACAAGGTATTTATAGATCTAAATAAATAATATAGAATTCTTTAAGATTCTTTGGGTGGTAATTCGAATACTTATATGATAGCATGTATTTCACCTTCAGCAAGTAATTATGAAGAGACAATTAATACTTTGAAATATGCAAGTAGAGCAAGAGAAATTAAGAATAAACCTACTCAAAATAGAGTAATTATATATATATATATATATTAAGGATCCTCATGCTGCTTAAATATTGGCTTTAAAACAATAAATAGTTGGTTTATAGGGTCAAATTAAATAATATGCTTAAATACTTTAAGATAATAATATAAATACAGATTCTGTTTAATCTATGACTGATTAAATATATGAATCAATTTCTCCTAGTTCTGGACCTTAATAGAATTGTATAGAACATGGAGAAACTATTCTTAAATTAAAAAATTAAAATTTTCAATTAGAAAAACAATTAAATAATGTATAAAGAGAATTATAGAATTCTTAAAAAGGATTAAGTGAAAGTATACTTGAATGTTATAAAGTAAAGAAATAAAGAGATTAAATTATGAAATAATTTTAAGATGCAAAAAAGTAATTATTTATTTTATTTTTAGAATTTTATAAAAATACAATATCTAATATAATTTTAATGAGGATTAATAAATGGATACTTATTATAATGAAATAGCAAGTTTAAAGAAGATTGTCTAAGAATAAGAATAAAAAATATTCCTTTTATAATCTAATAATGATTAACTATTAAAAGTAATGTAATTAGATACATAACTTAGTACAGGAAGCACGCAGAGATCAAAAATTATTGAGATAAAAGCAGCATGAATTGATGAGATTAGAGAAACGAAAATAAGATGTTGATTAAATAGATGATGATTTTGAATTGGATGATTCTGAAATAATATAAAAAGATCTATAGATTGAAGAATAGGAATATTAACTTTAAGAATTGGATAAAATTAAGATAGAGACAATTTAATTATTATAAGATGATAAACAAAATTATTTAAAATAAATTTCTATTTTAGAAGAAGAAAAGGCTAAATTATAAAAGTAATTGAATACAAAGTAGGATTCTGCTTAAATGAATTCACTTAAATTGAAAATATCAGAATATGAAACTAAAATTTTAGATATGAGATAAAAAGAAATGACATCAAAATAATTGTAAAAGAAATTAGAAGATTAAGAATGTTAAGTAAAAGAACTTAGAACTAATATTGAACTAATGAAAAAATAAAAAGTTGATTTGATTAAGAAAATGAAATAAGAAAATGAGAAATATATTAAAGATAAAGAATAAAAACATAAAGAATTAATTTATGCTAAGAAATAGAAAATATAATAAGATACATTAGTGAGTAAATTGAAAAATGATAATACTAAAAAAGATGTTTAATTAAAAAGAAAAGAAGATGAATTATAAAAATAAAAAAATG